TAGTTCCTTAACTATCCTATTTTTGTGAATTTATAGCGTACTAACCCTTTTTTGCATGATTTTTTTTTATTGGTGAAATAAATCAAGGTATTATATTACATTCATGTCCAAAATTAAAAGAAAAATGGTTAAAAAATTAAAAAATAAATTTGACAGTTATGTTTTTTTTCTGCAATGGACATTAAAAAGGTATCCAGACACGATCAATTTAAAGTGAACTTGTTCTTTTATATAATTTTTGGGCATTCAATGCTATGATGGAAATTTCCACCATTATGCAAAGAAGGGCCTTATTTTTTTTTATACAACTTAGAATGGCAAACAAGCTGACGGCCCACCTGATGGAAAGTGGTAGCCGTCGCCTATAGACATGAGCAATACCATGGACATAACGGAGTATACTGTTTCGCCCATAATACTCCCCATGCGTTGCCATTCCTGAGGATTCAGGTGTTATTCCTCTGTAGCCAGTAAATTCACGCCATATCTCACCCTTCAAACCTAAGCACAGCCATGCAAACACAACTGCTTCAAGGTTGAAACACGAATGAGACAGAGGTGCCCAAGCAATCGACTTTTGTACTAAGTCTCCCTCCGGTCCTTGTCTTATGCAATAAAGGGCATTTCGCCCCTTAACATTTTATTATATCAGATTTTAACTGTCCACTGCTGAACATAATCCCCCATAAGGGGTATTTTGCCAGTAATTGTCATGTTTGGCAGGCAGGTTGGCAACCGTAGTTTGGCTTTTGATGATCTTTTAAGAGGGACACTACTGCCTATCTCTCTAGCATAAGCTCGTTTAGTCGCTTCTTACGACACCCACTAGAAAGGAATGAGAAAGGAAGGGGTGGCCAATTCTATGCTTTTCTAGCTATTCTAGCTTTCATTGTTCTGTGGTCCCAACATAGAATGGATTATCCCTTATTTCCCATGGGTGTTGTAAGAGGCGATTAAGAGAATTTAAAGTTCTTAGGATAGGTAGCAGCGTCCCTCTCAAAATATCGCCAATAGCCTAACTGCGGTTGTGAACCCGCCTGCCAAGCGTGGCAGTTACTGGCAAAACTCCCTTTATGGGGAAGGCTTATGTCCAGCAGTGGACAGTTAATGGCCGAAATGATGAATGATGATAGATGAGAGAATTTTCTAAATCAAATTGTTCCATATGATGCCCACAGCCACTTTCTACCATCGTACAGCTCGCCATCGACAGGGAGTTTATTCTCATGTCCTACAGCCTCAATGGTCGCGTACTGCGCGGTTTCAAAGATGTTTCCTCCTACGAACACTCAGGTTGTGGAATGAGCTCCCTGCCGAGGTTTTCCCAAGAGACTACAGCGTGGGGTTCTTCAAAAGGGGGGTAAAGAGGTTTCTTCAGGGTCGGCAACGCGCGCGTATTATATCTCTGGTATTGCAGGTGTTCATAGGCTACGGTAACCACTTACCATCAGATGGGCCGTATGCTTGTTTGCCACCTCAGTGGTATAATAAAAAAATCAGTCGAGTAGTTTTTGAGTTTATTTATTTATTTTTATTTATTTAACACTTTATTGCACCAACATAACAGGATTTGTTGAACAATTTTCAATAAGTATAGTGTAGTACGAAAGGCGGTCTTATTGCTAAGCAATCTCTTACAAACAGTCTTTATTCCTTACAGACAAACATATATTTCCTCTTTCTTTATAAAATTACCTTTTCTTGTTTTTCTTTTTTTTTTTTGTAATTTTGCTAACTTATTATTTTTTTAATTTTAAGAACTTTTACCTTCTTCAGATATATCAGCCGTATCCTATCCTGAACTGATTTTTCATATGAAGCTTTATCTACTTTCCCTAGACACGGAAAGTGAGGAATTAATGAGTTTACTACCATAATTTTTTTAACCAATTTAAAAAAAGAGAGTTTCTCAATTCGATTGTATATTTTTCAAATTTGTTACCTTACAAGTCCGTCAGTTGTGAACCGGTTTGGAAAATTCTTTTTTTTTACGAAACAATATACTTAATTGGGATGCGAACTACTGGTCTCATTGCTAGCAATATACCCTGACAGGTCGACCTCCACGTGGTCTCCCCTACAAACCATCGTGCTGAATTCCAGGTGTATTCATCACGATGGGCTAACTGACCTGCTCTTTCATTTTCACTTATCATCCCTCACTGGTGCCCCGCCAGCGTATACCGATAGCACAGGTGGGGCTACCATTCCATTATCAACCATTAAAAACGACACATAATAGGCGGAGGAGGGAAAGGAAGGGATTGTTAGTAATGCAGACTAGAGTCTCATTGCCAGCAATATACCCTCTTTTCTGTTGTCTGAATTCAACAACAAATTCAACAAATTGACAGTCATAATGAACTAACTGACCTGCATTTTCATCCTCACCTATCATCCTTACGGTATACGCTATACCGATAGCGCAGGTACCAGATACCATTCCAGTTTCACCCATAAAAAAACCCGCTACTAGATAAAGTGCTAGCTAGCTCGCTACTAGACCACCTCAAATGCATTGCAGGGAGTCAGTGTATGCAGGTGGCTTAGGACTTCTTTATGGCAGTCTATGGAGTGGACGGATAACGGCTGAAATGATGGTGATGTAGATAGATAGATAGATAAACACTATTTTTATTTATTTATTTTATTTGGTATAACAACAGCTTTTTACAAAATTGAATACATATTACATTACATTTACTACATGCTAGCCAATTATAGTTTACCACAGAGTAAAACATAAGCATCCGTTAAGCAAATTAAACTATATTTTATAACAATAGTGGTATGGTGCGTCCGCTACATTGCTCGCACTGTAGGTATACTGTGCGAACACTACAGCTGATGTTCCCACAAACCATCCCGAGACCAATACGTCACATTTGCGCTAACTTCATGCGCTGCTAGGTAGTGTTGTGGTAAATATGGGTCTGTCGGAATTTACACTATTTCTATATATATGTTGATGAACCTTTTGGAGTAGATCATAAACAGTATCTATCTATCTATCTATTTGTCATTATGATGAACCATGCCCATGCATCGCGCCGGTACTAAATTTAGCATTCTGTTTTCCTATGAGTCCGTTTCCATTATTAGCACCCACTATGGTGGGGAGGGAGGGGCTACATCTCAGTTAATCACTGGGGGTATCGTCACCCTGGCTACATTTGTCTCAATTTACCCTAATAGTTTTTAAGGCGGGAGTGAGTTGGGGCTTCTTGGACTTGTATTTTAATTTTCTTTTCGATGTGACTTCAAAAAGTGTTTATTTATTTATTTAAACTTCAATTCGAAATAACTACATAGTATACAATAAAGTCGCTTCCCATCTGTCTGTCCATATGTATGCTTAGATCTTTGAAACTACGCAACGGATTTTAATGCGGTTTTTTTTTTTAATAGATAGAGTGATTCAAGAGAAAGATTTATATGTATAATACATGCATAATATTGTAGAGAAACACACATAATTTTATTGTACTTATAAGTACGTTAAGATAAATTTAAAAAATATATATTCGAAATTGTATTTTGTAGTATATTTAGTATCAGCATTGCACCCGTGCGAAGCCGGGGCAGGTCGCTAGTTATATAATATAAGTAAGTGTACATATGGCGGACTTAACACCAAATGGTGTACTCTACCAATCAACCATGAATCATATTTATTTATTTATTTAAACTTTAAGGCACAGTAAAAGTCTATGTACATTTGGCGAACTTAACACCGGCCGGTGTTCTCTACCAGTCGAGCATTGGGCGAACAGAGAAATAAGTAGGCGGTGCATTATTGAATAGAGGAAATACAAAGCAATACTTGATATATTCATATTTTCATTGTCAATGCTGAACCGATTTTGATAACTCTATTCCCAATCGATAGGGTTTACTGACGTGTTGGTCACATTTCAATTTTGTGACAATTGAAGCTGCCGTTTTAGTTTGCGGAGCAAAAATTGCTTAATACGATGCAAAACTTATTTGTAAACATTTGTCTGCTCTTTGCAAATTTAAATATTTTCAATATGACAAAGTATTTATACGTTTTTACGATTAAACTTTTTTTTTAGCATAAAATATATATTTTTTACATTATACTTAAGAAGATTTTTGTAATTTCACCCTAATGTCATTCGTAGGGACGTGGACAGTTTCAAGAAATCGAAAAAGATTCCAATTTTGACAAAATATCCATGAGAGCTAAAATGAGATTGAAGGGGACAGCCATTGTTAGTAATGGGAGTTAGTGATTCCATGGCAATAGATCATATCAACTACGCAATCCCCCTGGAAAGTATTTTTGTGGTGGTTAATTCTTGGTGAATTCATCAAGACGTGCCTAATGATTAGACTTCATCCTCGTCTATCATCAGTCACTGGTGCCCCGCCAGCGTATTACTTATCCATTTTCGTCAATAAGGAAAATACTTCTTATGAATAATAAAAAGAATCATCAAATACAAACTTTTTCAAAACAGTAAGTAAGTAAGTAAGTACTATACATTATAATCATTTTCGTGTACAATATAGTATATTTTATATATATGTAAGTATATTTGTTATGTATATATATATATTTATTCGTTTATATATGTAATTTTAGTATGTATGTATATCAATAATTACTAGCACCGCATTCGTGTATTCTGACACTTGCCTATGGTTGACTGGGAGAGAATGCTTTTAGCATTAAGTCCGCCATGTACCCATACATATACTAATGAGTAAATAAAATAAATTAAAAAAATATATTACTTAATTTTTTTTTAATTAAATTGCCATTTAGTAAAATGTTGAAAAAGGATTCTAGACACCATTCTCTAATGCATTACTTCATATAATATTTACTTATAAATTTATTACCACGCTTCAAATCCCATGGGTATTCCACGTGTGTCTATTTTCGCCCCGTCCACCCATCTCATTACCATAGCATTTCGATTCAGATTCCTATATAAAACGGGACCGATACCATTTACGATCAGTGGAAAACACAAACAGGTGGAGAAAACAGCAAATGGTAGTATTGTAGAATTGTAACATAACCATTCGATTAAACTCATTACCGTATGTCAAAATGTTGTCAATGAATAACGTTGTTTGTTTATTCGTCGTCATACTATACAGTAATATAGTACTGTGTGATGATCTAAAGGTGAGTAAATTAATTTACTGTAATCATAAATTTTATCTTACTAATATAATAAAAATAGTAATTGGATAATGTTTGTATTTTATGAAAAATTGGTATTAACAATTATATTTTTAAAAATGTATTATTACCATTTCTAAAAACTCATTACTGTATGTCAAAATGTGTTCAATGAATAACGTTGTTTATTCGTCGTCATACTATACAGTAATATAAATACTGTGTGATGATCTAAAAGTGAGTAAATTAATTTACTATTATATAATTATAATCATAAATGTTATCAATACTATCCCTTTAAACTCATTAGCGTAACAAAATGTTATCAATGAATAACATTGTTTGTTTATTCGTCGTAATACTTATACAGTAATATAATACTGTGTGATGATCTAAAGGTGAGTAAATTAATTTACTGTAATCATAAATTTTATCTTAGTAATATCATAAAATTGTAATTTTATATTGTCTATATACTCGTATACAGAAAAATTGGTTTTAAGAGTCTTAGAATTTTGTTATAATCACTCCTTTAAACTCATTACTGTATGTCCAATATTGTCATTGAATAACGTTTTTTGTTTATTCTTCATAATACTTATACAGTAATATAGTACTGTGTGATGATCTAAAGGTGAGTAAATTAATTTACTGTAATCATAAATTTTATCTTACTAGTATAATAAAAATAATAATAATAAGATAATGTCTGTATTTTAAGAAAAAATAATGTTAAAAATTGTATTTTTACCATTTCTCAAACTCATTACCGTATGTCAAGATGCTGTCAATTATCGTCACGTGGGAGTTACAAAGTATTCTATTATGGCTAAAGTGGTGTTTACATTTAAGCTACTGTCACTATTTTCAAGTTTTTTTTTTTTGGCAACTTAGAATGGCCAACAAAGCTGACGGGCCACCTAATGGAAAGTAGTAATCGTCGCCTGTAGGGAAAAAGAGATTGTTAGTGGTGGGGATTTATTAGCTTAATAATTAGGCTTAGGCCCAATAGGCTAGCAATATATTTTATCTGGTCGACCTCCACACGGTTCCCCCTGGATATCGTCTTGGTTATTTTTTTTAGAATTTATCAGGATAGGTGAACTGACCTGCTTTCATCCTCATCCTTAAAAAAACCGTCGCCTGGAGACATGAAGTTCAATTTCAGTTTGCAGTTTAATTTTAAGTATTTTTTATGCAACTTGGAAAGACGAATAAACTAACAAAAAAAAAATGAAAATATATCACTATTTCTATTTCCAGATTATTAGTAATGAATTCTTCTAACAGCCCCATTGCTAGTATTATACCCTATAGGTCAATCTCCCGTGGTCCTCCCTGGAAACAATCGTGCTGAATTGCCAGTGTACTCATCACGATGGGCTAACTAACCTGCCCTTCCATTCTCACTTATCATCCCTCACTGGTGCCCCGCCAGCGTATACCGTTAGCTCAGACGGGGTTACCGTTCCATTCTCATCCATTAAAAAAACCTCATTGCTTATTTTAAATGTAACATCATTTTTTTAAATACCTTGACTATTAATAATGGCTTGATTCTGGTTGGCTTGTTGGTTCTGCCAACTGACGCCTGGTGCTCCATTGTTTACTCCTAGATATAAGAGTAAAGTGATCAGCATTACCACCATCATCGTCATCATATTAGCCTTCAACTGTCCACTGCTGGACTTAAGCCACTGCTAGACATAGGTCTCTCCCATAAACGGCGTATTGTCAATAGTTGCCACGCAGGCGGATTGACAACCGCAGTTAAGCTTTAGAGATGTTCTAAGAAGGATGCTGCTGCCCATCCTTCTTAGTTGGTTATCATTCCATTATCATCCATTAAAAAAAAACTCTAACTAAGGATAACTTACGTATTGATTCACGCAGTTAAAGCCGCGAGAAGCAGCCTGTTTTAATTATACTTAACATTTACAGGAAGACAACATAGACCGAGGTGCGCATAGCGACAGAAATGGATTGTGGTTTGGACCTAGACTGGGCAAAAGGTCATTGTCGATTTCACACGAAGACAACAGGTAAATACCTAATTTAAAATTGTTTTTTATAACTTGTTTTTTATACTTTTTTAGAAAGGATATACTTACAATATATCCTTTCAGATAAAAAAAGAATTTTCTAAATCATTATAGAATTGACGAAGATATGAGGTAACAAATTAAAAAAAAAAACAATCGAATTGAGGGTCTCCTTCTCGCCTCCCAAGTGTGGCAACTATAAAGTTTCATCCCAACTATCAGGACGAGTGGCGGTCGTCCACTGTGCGTTTTTCAAGGCACTTTCTTCCACGCACAACCACTCTTTAGAGTCAACTTCCAGCAGCAGTATTCCCGAACCGATACAACATCATAACCTTCAAGAAAAGAGCATATTCGTAGGCGGCGGTAGTCACTTACCATCAGGTGAGCCGCATGCTCGTTTGCCCCTTGGATTGTAAAAAAAAAACTACTGGCCAAAACCCCTTTTATGGAAGAGATCAGCAATGATGATGGACGATTTCGAAATTATGGATAGACCTAAAGAGGGTTGACGTCAGGCAGGCGGCCGGTCGTCAAACTATAAGCCAAATCTTTTTGTAATATGGATAAAAAACATATTACGCCGACCCCAAATAAATTGGGATAAGGGTAGGAAGATGATAATTATAGATTTATTTACCGCCATCAATGTCCAGAGAAACCCGATAGAGCGATCGATTGGGTTTCTTTTACCCATGCTTATTGAAAATGCATTGTTGCAGACCATTCCTAAGATTATTAGAAGCTGCCGATGCACTGAAATATTACTATGACCAACTACCGTACTACGAAGCACAAGCGGACGAGCCCGAAGCAAAAGGTATGTATACTATTAACATGTTGGTGCATGCCAATGAGTGGGTAGAAGAAAATGCTTTGTCTCAGGAGCGGAGACGTAACATCCCTACATGAGTCTAGTCCAGATCATGAGTTATCTTGATTTAAAAGCTAAACTATTGAACTTATTTTGATAAAAAAAATTATAGGACCAATCTATAAATCTACCCTATTAGATAAAAAAAAGCCGGCCAAGTGCGAATCAGACTCGCGCCATGAAAGTCCTGTACAAAATTATAAAGTTTATTTTGTTTGTGACATAACTACAAATTTACGATTTTCGGATATTTTCCTTTACTTGTGCAACGTGATGTTGTTTCTTGCTAAATTTCACGATTCGTAGTCAACGGGAAGTACTTAATATATGTTTTGATTCCTTTTGCGAATGTCAAAATATGCGATATAAATGTAATGGCCGTATCTTATGAACGGGTCGATTTAGAAGCTCGATTTTTTCACTGCTTTAAGAGATTGCAGACCTGTGTGTATGACATTTATTACAACTTGATACCCTCATGCGTTCCTGAGCAAAAGGGCCTTAACAGACGGTCTATAAAAAGATCGGATCCATATAAATGTTCCGTTTTTCCTTTGTAAGTACGGAACTCTAAAATAGAATTTTCCAAAGCGGTGGCAAAGGGCTGACGAAGTTATGAGAAAACACAATAAAATCTTATCCTACGAACTACGTCGGTCACTTTGATTCTTCTACGGATATTCACATTCCGGATTCCGTCACGCATAGAAACTCCAAACACAGCTCTCTCCAAAGAGGGGGAAAGGGATTGTTAGTAATGGAGACTGAGAATCCCATTGCTAGTAATATACCCAACCAGGTCGACCTCCTCGCGGTTCTCCCTAAAACCTATCATGGTTAATTCCTGATGAATTCATCATGATGGGCTAATTGGCCTGTTTTCATTCTCATCTATCACCCTTCACTGGTGCCCCGCCAGCGTATCCCGTTAGCGCAGGCGGGTTTACCATACCATTTTCACCCATAAAAAAAGCCCTCTCCAAAGCTCGCTGACTAACTTGAAGCTGTAAAAGCTCTGGCAATAATAGTATTATTAAATAAAAATAAATTTTCAGTTACAAAGAAGGTGATATTCACGCCCAAATTGGGTAGAAGCCTGGACGGCTATTCGGACAAACAGGCGTATGAAAACATAGACTTCACCCCTCGACTGGGGAGGAGATTGGCTGATGATATGCCTGCTACTCCACCAGACCAGGACTTGTAAGATATTTTTTTTATAATAGCAACATATATAATCACACTGTCTTGAATGAATACAGAGACATAATAGTCTATGAATGGATTTCTTTTATACAACTTAGAATGGCAAACAATCTGACGGCCCACCTGATGGAAAGTGGTAACCGTCGCCTATAGACATGAGCAGTACCGTGGACATAATAGAGTATACTGTTTCGCCCATGATACCCCCTATGCATTGCCATTCCTGAGGACTTAGGTGTTATTCCTCTGTATCCTGTAAATACACTGCTATATCCCACCCTTCAAACTGGAACACAGCCATGCAAACACAACTGTTTCACGGTAGAAACACGAATGGAACAGAGGTGCTCAAGCAAAGGTTTTATGACAAAGAAAATATGTCTAGGTAAAGTTACTATTTGGCCAAAATTTAAACTTTTTTTGATCCTTTAATTATTTCTAATAGTGTATAAAAAAAGAAATCGGTGGAAACAAATAAAAAGAATTGACAGTCGGACAAAGCACCTCCTCCTTTATTGAAATCGATTTAAAGTCGACTTGGTCTGAGGAATTTTTAATTTAAATACTTGCCGCACTGAAAAACGAGCGTGTTTTGTTTTGATTTGTCAAAATTTAGTCAGACAAACGTTAGTTCAGCCGATTAAATGTAGACCTCTTTTTGAGACTCCATATAATCTTAGAAACAATGATATTAATAAATAAATGCTCCCAGATACAGACCAGATCCCGAGCAACTCAGCAGGAAGTATTTCTCACCAAGGCTGGGAAGGAATGTCAATCTGACTCCGAGACTTGGCCGTGAATTGTATGGTGAGTTAAAAATTCAATAAAAATATAATCAGACTAGCTGTATACCGCGGAATCATTCTTTTTTTATACAACTTAGAATGCCAAACAAGCTGACGACCCACCTGATGGAAAGTGGTAACCGTCACCTATAGACATGAGCAGTACCACGGACATAACAGATTATACTGTTTCGCCCATGATACCCCCCATGCGTTGCCATTCCTGAGGACTCAGATGTTATTCCTCTGTACCGTGTAAATTCACGCCATATCCCACCCTTCAAACCGAAACAGCCATGCATACACAACTGCTTTTCGGTTGAAACACGAATGGGACAGAGGTGCCCAAGCAATCGACTTTTGTACGGTCTCCCACTGGTAGTTGTGTAGTTTAATAGCGTATAATCCTCCTCAAAAAATGAGTCATCAAATGCAAAACAAATTTTTCATAAACCATTTTTAATTCTAGAGATTAGCACGTACAAACAGTCAAATTCCTCGTCGATTTATTACCTTACTAATAAATTCGTAAAATAGTGGACGTGAAAGAAAGAATAATTCGAGAATAATTCGAAATTGTTCTTTTATAATTTTTGGGTATTCAATATTATGATGGAAATTTCCACCAGTATCCAAATAAGGGCTAATCTAATGTATATTTATATATTATTTTTTGTTTTTTTCAGAAATATATCCAGGCAAAATAAGGGTCGTCAGAAGCGCAAACAAAACAACCTCGTCGTAACTTTAAAATATGCCGATTTTAAACTTAATTAAGTGTTTTATATAATTATTTGGACGAAGTAAAAGTTTATGACATCAAAATTGTAATTTATTAAATTATAAATAAATAAATATGTGATACAAGACACTGAAATTTGTTTACTTTTTTTTTAATTTGTTGTTATAGCCTGCGAACTGTCAACAACAGAAATTATAACAATGCAAAATTAAAAAAAAAAAACATCGTGTGACAAAAACAAAAAATACAGATGAGCTTTCTATTTTTTGCAGACACTTAAAAGAAAAAGTTTATACGTAATAATGGTACTTTCCCCCCGTGTGGTCCCGGCATAGAATGGACCACCCATTCCTTTCCCGTGGGTGTCGTAAGAGGTGATTAAGGGAGCTTAATGATCGAGGGGTTAACCAACAGCGTCCCTTTATAAACATAACTGAAACCTAACTGCGATTGCCAATCCGCCTGACAAGCGTGGCAACTATTGGCAAAACCCCTCGAGTGGTTTATACCGAACTGAGTGAGAAATTCAAATTGTGACAAGTTTACCCGCGGTAGCAGGAAACTTTTAAGAGAGAAAATTCTTCCTGATGCTTATCATGCCGCACGCACTATAATTGTAGATATTCTACATTTAGTTGAATATACGGCTGCTACAACAGATTTATGGACTTCTGACAATAATAAAGCATACCTAACTATTACAATACTTATAATTCAAAACTTTTTTCGCAAACTGTTACTACTAAAGAGGTTACGGAGAAACATTCTTCTATTATTTTAGCAAGTGTGCTGAAGTCGATATTATCGAAGCCGTTTGGTAGGGAAAAAATTGATCAATTTATTTTTTTAAAGTAGTTATTACACCAATTTCAGTTAAATTTGTTATCTCATTAAAGATATATTTTTGTTTTTTTTGTTGAGTTTATTTAAGTTTTATTTAAGTTAATTTTAAAACACGTATATTATTACATAAATTGTGTAAGAACATAATAAAACTGTTTATATTTGGATCTCATGAAAGTTCCTTGTTAGAATAAATTAAATTGGATTAGAACTTATTAGTAGTAGATTATGATATAATATTTTAATTTGACTGATAGTTGATATAAGAGGTTTCTTGATTATGTATGACAGGTTTAGTTTGAAGGAAAATTCTATTTTTTACATATTGTTTAGAATTTTTTTTTTTTTTTTTGATAAAATGAATACACATTTTCTATGTAAAATTAATACTGTTTTATTCGTTTTAAAATTTTGGTCACTCGCGTTTTATATTCCGAGTGACTAGAGTCAATAAAAATCACTCGAGTTTTATCTTCACTCGAGTGGCATTCGAGTGAGTAACTTATCAGTACCGAGTGACTCGAGTAAAAAAAAATCACTCGAGTCGCATCACTAATATAGTCCCTGTAATCTATTCTTAGGGTTGCCCGATTAGATATATTTTTAGCAATTATAGGTAAAAAAATTTTTGATCACATAATATTGGAGAAATAAAAATCTTGGAAAAAAATTAAATAAACTTGATAAAATTTGGGAAATGCCGGAATACTTGTAGAGTGATATATAGAATGTAAATTAACGTTGCCCATTGCCGACAACCACTTATGTAAATGCCTTAACAGATTATAAAAAATATACGAGATGGAAGGATAAGTAGGCCAAATGGAAACAGATGATTCAGATAGTCTGATTACGTTGACCATACACAGCTGATTCCACGCGTCACGGTAATACTTAAGTACGTATATATTTTTTTAATGGATGATAATGGAATGGTATACACTGGCGGCGCACTAGTGAGGGATGATAGGTGAAAATGAAAAGGCAGGTCAATTAGCTCAGTCGGTCAGTTTCCAAGGGAGACTACGTGGAGGTTGACCTAGTTAGGTATATTGCTAGGAATGGGGCCCTTAATTTCCATTATTAACAATGATCGCCCACTCCTAATACATATATTACATTGCTGTTTCTTGATATGTCATAGTATTTCCCTATAAAATATTATCATTTCTTTATATTATGATATAATAAATAAATAAATATCATAGATTACATGATTTTCAATAATAATAAAAAAAAAAGAAATATTTTTTTATTTTTCGGAAAGAATTTCTTCTGATTTTCAGTTCAGTCTTTACCAACTTGTCTTAGACTTTGTAATTATGCCTCACAGTTAATTGTTTGTAGAAGTTCAATATATAAATAAAATATCCTTTACATGTTATTTGGGTATCTACAAAAATAAAAATAGCGATGTTATCGGCTTGTACATACAAAGTACAAAGAAGCCGCCGCGACACGTGTAATATAATCATTAACCTGACATAGCAATTTCATAGATATTACAGCTGCATAGCAATATAAAAATTGCGTGCAATTTTAAATTATTACACGGTAGTGATTAAGTTCTTTATGTCAGTCTCTATAACTAAAAAATGAATGGAGATAAATTCACACAGTCTTTTAAGTAATGTCGAAGATACTTATTACGTAGGAAAGAGTTTTCTTTTTTTCTCCCACGAACACTCATGTTATGGAATGAGCTCCCTGCCGAGGTTTTCCCAAGAGACTAGAACATGGGATTCTTCAAAAGGGGGGTAAAGAGGTTTCTTCAGGGTCGGCAACGCGCGCGTAATACCTCTGGTATTGTAGGCGTTCATAGGCTACGGTAACCGACACTATTGTAAATAGTGCCGGCTAATGGAATAATTTTTTGTGGGAAGAAAATGGTAATAATTGGAAATAGTTTCACGTCGTCGACCGTGCAGAGCCGGTTGAACCGTCGCCCTGCGTGGTGCCTGCTGTGCGCAGGAGATCTCGCGGTAATGCGCGCGTAACGTCCGGTGGACGCGCATTGCGTGAGGCTAGGTCCCTTAAGTGTGGGTGGACGCTGTTATCCGCCCGGCTGAACATAGCGCGTGCCAGCCAGCGGACAAACTCGTCCACGCAAGGGACCGCGAGATCTCGGGCAATTACGTTATTTCTGACGTAACGACCTGCGTCTGCGCACAGTCGCAAGGCACAGTTCTACTGAATCTGCAGGCGCCGCCTCTGTGTATCGGAGCACAGTGCGTACCAAGCGGGGGAGGCATACGTCAGCTGCGAACGAATATAAGCTTTATAAATACCTACTTTCGTCCGCAGCGACAAGTTGGAATGGAGGACCGGCCGTAGCATGGCACGCGCGGCCTTAGCCTGTGTGACCGCGCGTGTAACGTGCGCGGTCATATACAACGACCGGTCAATCTCGACTCCTAGGTAGCGCACTGTGCGCTCCTATGAGATGGGTGACCACGGAGGTTGAGAGGCGGCGGAATGTTAAAGAGGCAACAGCAGGCGTGCCCATCGCCAAACAGCGATCCCTTTCAGACAACCCAAGGATGGAGAGAACTAAATTGCGTCTGTTAACAGACACAATTTAATTCCAGAGGTGTTACAGGAAAGTAATAAGACTAAAATGTGAGAGAAAAAATGGGTAAGTATTAATTTAAACGCAGTATAAACAATATAAATAAAATAGACTTACATATAATAATAATTAAATACTTATAAAAATCTTATTAATATTTTCTTTTTTTTTTTTTCGCTTATTCCTTACCACTCAGTTAAAATTATATCAAATTATACTCTGAACTATTTACATTATTTTTATTATACACACACTGCACAGACAATCACCAAAAATATTGCTATTTTTATTTTATATTTATTTTAATTATTATTTTCACGTATCCTCAAATGGGTTAAAGCTGAAAATCAGTGTTTTGTTCCTTGAACAATGTTCCACGCTGAGCTTCGACCTTTTTGTATTGCTGCAGATCACACATAATAACACAATTTTATAAATCTTATGTTGTTTTATGTATTATCTATTCTTATGAACATGTTGTGTGTGATTAGTAACAAACAAATAAACGATATATCTATCTATCTATAATATACTAAAAAGATAAACGCAAATAAATAATACATATGTGTATATGAATATGCATATATTGGTGTATTAAGTACTACGACGGAGAAGAATAAAAATCCACTATACAAAGGGAGACAGCTTCCGCCACCGATTTCTGGTTTTCTAATTGCATTTCTTTAACATTTTTTTTAAACGTATGTAAAGATGTCATTATTCTGAGGGGCGGTGGAATATTATTCCAACATTTCGTGGCCTAATAGCGAAAGCTGCCGGTAAATGCCACAGTTTTATGACATTAAAGTGACAGTGGTGGTCGCACTGATCTAGAATGATACCTATCACAAAAAGTGGAGAATTTTAACTTACTGTGAAGATATTCCGGATTTTTAAATTTCATTACACCAAATAACAAAGTAGCTAAATGTAATTGTCGCCGGGATTCCATATTAAGCATAGACGCCGTATATAAGTAGGACGAAATGTGACTACGAGGAGAAATGTTGAAAGAAAACCTACAACAGGCGTTTTAACCTTTTTGTATCAGACGCTGCGTTTTATGAAGTAGACGAGGGCCATACACTAGATCACCGTAATTGAATCTAGATAAAACTAAGGGCTCGCATAAAGTGATGCGAACTTTAATCGACAATAAATGGCGAATTCTGTATACAATTTTTAGACGATAGAAACAATTCTTAATCACATTCAAAATATGGCTTTCGAATCTTAATTGTTCATCAAATATAACACCTAAATTTTTAGCTTCCTTCACGCGTTCTATATTCCTGCCCAAAATACATAAAGATGGATTATTGTTTAAAATACTAATTACTAATATACCTATTATTTATAACTAAGAATTATGCATAAACACGTGGCGGGTCGCGCAGAAATCTGATAAAGTCGGCGGCATTATATCAAAGTATAAAGTCCCGACGTCGAAAGTAATTAATTGCCATTTGTGTGAAATAACATACTGTAAAATAAGTACAGTATAATATGTGAGTCACATATTAATGAAGGCAGACAACAAAGAATGGGATGAGAACTGGAGGAAAAAGTGGAAACAAAAGAAATAGCCTTTTTTTCGTCGTTCACCTTGTGGTACATAGCCAAAACATAGTGAGAAACAAAACAATTTTGTGGTAAGGTAAGAGTCCTGGAAATCGTTATAATTTGCTGAAAAATATTTGACGTTTGGATAAAAGTTGAAATTCGCATCTAGTAACCCTGTCTGTGACTGACATATACAGTGTCACAGAGTATATTTGTATACATACGTCAAAAATATTATTTCAATTTCTTCTTATCATGTACTTTATTTCTTAAAAACTATTATCTCTTTGTATTTAATTATTATTTTATTCTAGATTTATTCATTATTTATATATCCTGAACTTTTTTAAATACTTTTTTTTTTATAAGTAAGCATTCTAAATTCGTATCGCTGATTAAATAACTCGAAATAACGGCGACAATGCTTTTAAATTAATTATTTTCAGGGCAATGTGTTCTACAAACATTTCAAAGGTGTGTCTATCCAGTTTCGGCGGGAGAATTGATGAAATTCCCGGTATATGCGTAGATAATTTTAATATTATTAATAGAAGTGCTTATTTCCTGAGCCATTGCCATACTGATCACACGGAAGGATTATACAGTGATGAACTATTGGATTCCTTGGAGGAGAATGTGGACACGTACATTTATGTGTCGGAAATGACCGCGCTAATAGTTGAACACGAAAAATACGAGTTGAAAAAGTATTTGAAAGTTCTCAAGTTGGGTATGCTAATTTATTATTAACTAGCCACTCGTCCCGACTTTATATGTTTTTTTTTTTAATCCTAACATACTGTACAATAGATAATTTCTCCTTTTTGTGTCTCATAGTTGACTAGAAGAAATACCTTTAAGGCATCATATTTTATGTATAATTGTTCATTTTTAAATAGATTTGTCATGCAATAATTTCTATTTACTAATTTCATTTTTATTTTATTTATTTATTTATTCATTAGTACAAATATTTGTACATGGCGGACTTAATGCTAGAAGCATTCTCAATTCAACCATAGGGAAGTGTCGGAATACTCGAATGCGGTACTAGTAATTATTGATATACATACATACTAAAATTACATATATAAACGAATAAATATATATGAATAACAAATATACTTACACATATATGACATATACTATACTATACACGAATTTGGGAATAATATAAAGCACTTACTGCTCGGATAATTCTATTAATACCTAAAATCATTCATTTAGTAGATAGATATACTTTTTGTTTCCTCCAAAAGATTACAATAGTAAACTTATTATAAATACTAACAATTACCAATATTTACAATTAGTTGTTATTATATATGTATGAAATTTTCATAAGTAAATTAATACTTGGCTGATCAGTGATGAGTAAACTCATCTAGTACTAGTGTGTAGGTACATCCTTCTACCGTGACAGGCAACACAGTTTGGATTACAAAGCGTTCGTAACCAAACAATTACATTTCTTTGTATTTAGGTTTTTATCACAATTTTAGTTTAATTCCAAAGATTTCAACCATGATAGATTTCTCAGTCAGCAAAGTGCAATAAAGTAAATTTTTTTTAATTTTTTTTTTCTTTAAATGATAAGTCTGTTTGTGTACATCTATATAAAAAGTGAATTTAATGGGTGATAATGGAATGGTAATCCCACCTGTGCTATCTGTATACACTGGCGGGGTACCAGTGAGCGATGAGAGGTGATGATGAAAGTAGGTCAGTTAGTCCATTGTGTCAAATTTAATTAGAATTAACCACCATGGTTTCCAGGGGAAACTGCGTGGAGGTCAACCTAATAAGGTGTCTTGCTAATAATGAAACAGTTAGACCCCATTACTAATAATCCCTTTCCCCCCATGATCAAGAGTTAGGCAGCAGCTTCCATCTTAATAAACAACCAAAGCCTAACTGCGTTTGCAAGCCCACCTGCCAAAAATAGCAACTGCTGGCAAAATCCCCTAATAGATAGGCCTATGTTCAGAAGTGGAGAGTGATATAATAATAGAGCTGATGGGTCCAATAAAGAATAAAATCTATAATTCCAGGTGAACCAACATTGGTGATGCTACGTTCAATGCCAGAAGAGAACATAGAAGAATGTGTCATCACCGTGACTGCTATACCAGCGGGACATAGTCTGGGCTCTAACATGTTCCTCTTTCAAACAAACAACAAGACTATACTGTATACAGGAGATTTCAGAATATCACCGAATGATATAAAAAAACATAGGTAACATATTTAATACTATATTTTTTTACATTAATCTTAACACTAGATACAAATTCAAAGAAGAATAAGAATAATTTATTTGCACGAAATGTGGTACAGAGATCTTAAATGGTAACTGAGCTACACATTTCGCCTTATCTAAAGGCATGCAAATTTTGTCTTAGCACATGTTAAGTTAAAATTTATCAATTACCTATGTCCAAATTATTATTCTAACTTGCTGTTCCAAAGTATTGTTTAGAAAAAGCTATGTAATAGATAAATAGATATTTGCATTACTTACAGCACACAAATAATAACATACATAGATACATATACAAAAAAAAGGCAATACATAAAAAAAGACCAATTTTTCCTTTCGCGTGTGTAACACAAAATGGTCACAATTCAGTTCACTGCTTTGCCCTCAAAAGAGCTAAACACTGATATTCTGTTGTGGGCCAAAAGCTATGGCTTCAAAATATCTATGCTATTACCCAAAATATCCTTATTCATATCTTATTATCTGTCTTTTAATTAATTTAAAACTGTTATTAAAAAACAAAACACTTATGGAACAATGCCTATTACACTATACCGGTGTTTCTCTACGTGGGGCCCACACCCCGCAGGGGGGCAATTTGATAGTTGGGGGGGTATTAAAATATGGACTTTAAGTGATTTTAACCCTCTTGCTCCGGCCCATTTAAATGCAGTGCTATGAATAACAATGGAGTCCTGTAGAGGTCGACCTGATAGGAACCCCTTCCTCCCTTATGGTGGTTAGGATTGATCAACTACTTCCAGTGATGTGACGTTTCCAATAAGTATTTCCATAGATTTTTTTTTCTATATAATTTAATGTACCCTTCAAAAATAAACATAATTTTGTCATTTTTTTTTATACAACTTAGAATGGCAAACAAGCTGACGGCCCACCTGATGGAAAGTGGTAACCGTCGCCTATAGACATGAGCAGTACCGTGGACATAACAGAGTATACTGTTTCGCTCATGATACCCCCCATGCGTTGCCATTCCTGAGGACTCAGATGTTATTCCTGTGTACCCTGTAAATTCACGCCATATCCCCACCCTTTAAACCGAAACACAGCCATGCAAACAACTGCTTCACGGTAGAAACACGAATGGGACAGAGGTACCCAAGCAATCGACTTTTGTATAAAAATTCCCTCCCTCTGGTATAAAAATTGCGAATCTATAATTGGCTAATGTATGGTGTAATTATATTTTTTTTTAATTCCAGATATAATATGTTGATTCCAGATGTAATATTAAAATAAATAAATAAATTTGTCAATTTTTATTTCTAGAGATTTCCACAGCCCCCAGGATCGCAATGAACCCATACATCTCGACACAATGTATATTGACACGACATTTTTAAATGGAGAACACAATGTTTTCATGAGAAGGACAGAAGTTATCGACTACCTTACAAGTGAAATAAAAAGTTGGCTAGACAGAGACAGTGAGAATCGTGTTGCGTTAAGTCTATCAGCAAAGTATGGCTACGAGAGTGTGTTTAATGAAATCTATAAGAGATTGAGGAAGAAAGTTTATGTAAATGATAAAATCTGGAGTCTCTACAGGTTTGTTCGTCTTTTGATCGCTTTGCGTTGAAACAGTTACCATAGCACTGCCTTTTTTTTTATACAACTCAGAATAGCAAACAAGCTGACGGTCCACCTGATGGAAAGTGGTAACCGTCGCCTATAGACATGAGCAGTACCGTGTACATAACAGAGTATACTGTTTCGCCAATGATACCCCCCATGCGTTGCCGTTCCTGAGGACTCAGATGTTATTCCTCTGTACCCAGTAAATTCATGCCTGCCTGTTTCTAACTGGCTACTTTATGTTGTATTTTTTTTTTAATACATGAAAATGGATTGGTAACCCCGCCCGCGCTATCGGTATACACCGGCGGGGCACCAGTGGAAGATGATAGATGAGAATGAATGCAGGTCAGTTGGCCCACCATGATGAATTCGACAAGAATTAAACATGATGGTTTCCAGGGGGAACCGCGTGGAGGTCGACCTGAGAGGGTCAATTGCTAACAACGGGGCTATTAGATGTCACTACTAACAATCCCTTTCCCCCCACTTTATGTTGTATTAGGTTTTACCTATTCCATAATTATATATATTAAGGATTCGAATCTTATGGTAAGTTATTACTACAATATATCGGTAAAAAAAAAATTAATAATACTCGCCAAAAATAAAGTATTGCCTCTTATTATCTTTAATTACAAAATAATCAACAAAAACCACAAGTATCGATTCTAGCGCCGTTTAAAATTGCCTAATTTTGTTTAGTTATTAACCAATAATACTTACATAGAATAAATATATACAGAGAGAGTGAGGAATGGAGAAGTCAACATAGCCCACAAGCAACCAAATACCACCAGTGTATGTCGGCTTACCCGGATGTGGTAGCCTCCAGAGTTGAAACCGGGGCAATGGCGTCATTATCATCCATTAAAAAAAAAATTATAATTTGCCACCATTTCTCTTTTATACCACTTTAATCAAATCATTTTCACTGTCGTCATAAGTGAGTTTTAAAATCCTTTAACTGTCCACTGCTGAACACAAGCCTCTCTCTATTGATGGGGGATATCATGGACAATACAGTATACCCTGTTATGTCCATGGTTCTATTCATGTTTATAGACAACAATTACCAAGAGTTTACCAGAGGGAGACTTTGTACAAAAGTCGATTGCTTGGATACCTCTGTCTCATCCGTGTTTCAACTGTGAAGCAGTTGTGTTTGCATGACTGTGTTTCGGTTTGAAGGGTGGGATATGGCGTGAATTTACAGGGTACAGAGGAATAACACCTGAGTTCTCAGGAATGGCAACGCATGGGAGGTGTCATGGGCGAAACAGTATAATCTGTTATGTCCATGGTACTGCTCATGTCTATAGGCGACGGTTACCACTTTCCATCAGGTGGGCCGTCAGCTTGTTTGCCATTCTTAATTGTATAAAAAAAATTCTTCATACGTTAGCATCGAGCTTATATCGTGTAGATGAATGCATTGTTTATCTCGCTCCAACATATGTGTTATGTTTTCTCTCCTTTACATTGTCAATCTATATGTTTTATAAAATTCATTGGTTTTTTTTTTCAGGAAAATGCCAGACAGAGTCATAGGTGTGACAAATGATGAAACAAAAATACGTATACACGTCTGCCACAATAAATACTCCCATTATCATCACAGGAGATGCGTGCCAAACTCTCCTAACGCTAACTACTTGTATGTCCGTCTGTCCGCTATGAAATGGCAGAATTGCTCATTAGAAGAGGTGCCATTCAAGTCGAAAGATCAAGGGACAAGATTGGACGTGTGTTTCTCAACGCATTGCAGTCGAAGTGAGCTGGTGCATTTCGTAAACTACTTCTCGCCTAAAAAGGTCGTGGGTTTCCCAAATCCTTACCCGCAAAGTGAAGGTACTTTAGTTAGAAAGAATATGTCAGATTTTCAATTTTTACCCAAGAAAAGAAGGCACCGTAGGTGATGTATATTTTTTTATATTAAAACAATGGTAACCCCGGCTGTAGTGTTCATTTTTGACGGGGCACCTGTGGGGGAAAGGGTTATTATATATTATACTTTATCTGGTCGATATCCACGCATGCTCCCTAGAAATCATGATGGTTCACTTATGAACCTGACCTGACCACCATTCACCATTGGGGATGAAGGGTTTGTTAGTAAAGCGGACTCCCAGCCTCGTTGCTTGTTAGCAATGGACCACATGGAGGTCGACCTCCATGTGGTCCCCCTGGAAACCTGAACACAGGGTTACCTACTAGTCAACATATAATATTGATAGGATAGAACTAAGAAAGAAATGAAAGAAAGAAATAATTTAATCAAAAGAAGCATGCGGCCCACACAGTAGCGCACAAAACAAAAACAAAAGAAATCAAAAACAAAACAAACAAAAGAAAATAATAATTGTATACAAATAGAAAGCAATTAAATTATAATGTACGCGTGCGCGCGTGTGTGTCGCAATGTTCTGTGATGTAGGTCCGTGCTCAGCATATTGCTGCAGCGCTTGAAGCGCTACAGCGCTGTTTTTCAGCAAGAACCATAGCGTCACAAGTAAAAAACAGTTATATAAGTAGTGCGTTGGTATTCTATACATATACAAATCTACATTATACATATACACATACACGTACATACACAGACACATACACATACATATATATATATACATACATATACACATACACATACATACACATTCACACACATATACAGAATAAAGAAAAATGAGATGGCAATATATAGTGTTCTATCACCTAACCTAGCCATACTATTACTGTTCAATCAGATCAGCGACGCGGGAGGCTGTGTTCATGCATTGAGTGCAACTAGTTGAATGTATAATGCGAAATTTTACAAGATTAGATGGATGTTCGCTCTTTCAAGCAAAGACTGACCTTAAAAATGGGTTTTAATGAAATTTAGCAAAACGAGTAAGTTGTTTCCTAATTTAGCACGTAGGATACTGTGTATTTACCAGAGGGAGACTTTGTATAAAAGTCCGTTGCTTGGGTACCTCTGTCCCATTCGTGTTTCTACCGTCAAGCAGTTGTGTTTGCATGGCTGTGTTTCGATTTGAAGGGTGGGATATGGCGTGAATTTACAGGGTACAGTTACACTTGAGTCTTCAGGAATGACAACGCATGGGAGGTATCATGGGCGAAACAGTATACTCTGTTATGTCCATGGTACTGCTCATGTCTATAGGCGACGGTTACCACTTACCATCAGGTGGGCCGTCAGCTTGTTTATCACACTAAGTTGTATAAAAAAAAACAGTCTAACTATCCACTGCTGAACATACGCCTCCCCCTTGGAAGTTTTGCCAGTAGTTGCCACGCTTAGCAGGCGGATTGGCAACTACATTTAGGCTTTAGTAATGCTTTAAGAGGGACGCTGCTGCCCATTTCTCGCCCTCCCTTAATCGCCTCTTACGACACCCACAGGCCTGTAATAAATGTGCTTACGACCAAAAAAATTAATATAGAAACTGTTATATATGTATTTATTACTAAATATAGACTGAAAATGTATGAAAATTGCGTTTTCCTTGTTAATACTTGTGTATGTCTAACTTTAAGACTGTATGAATTTCATTATTTTTAATAATTTCAATAAGAATAAATAAATTGCTTACTTTATTTATTATACCCGATATGGTTGTAGTTTTCTTTATGTTTGTTACCTCATATGTAAACCGATTTGGAAAAAACTTTTTTATCTGATAGAATATACTTACAGATTGGTCTCGTACAAATTTTATCAAAATCGGTAGTTTTTAACTGGTTTAGCGACAATTAAAGTCGGTTTTTTTATGGAACACATCTGTAATTATTTATTTCGTGAAGCATAATCTGAATTTAATACTATTACACCACTATTACATGAATTTTTATAAAAAATGAAATCCCCCCCCCCCCTCATGACAATGCAATTTTGTCCGCAGATAAAATGTACCTTAATCTTTTCACATTTTCAAGTCTCGAGAGCTAATCCTCGGAATGCATGGGGGAAAGGCATTGTTAGTAATGCGGACTACCAGTCCCACTGTTAGCAATATACACTATCAGGCCGACCTCCCTGTGATACCCCTTGGAAACCATCGTGCTGAATTACAGGTGTATTCATCACGATGGGCTAACTGGCCTGGCCTTTCATTCTCACCTTTTTACTCACTGGTGCCCCGCCAGCGTATACTGTTATCGCAGGCGGGGTTACCATTCCATTATGATTCACTGAATAAAAAATCCTCGGGATACCTTTTAGGCCCAAACCTTTAAAACAAAAGTAAAACGGACGGCTTTTTTAAGCCTAAGAGATATAAAACACGATTTCAAATTAACATTTATTAAAAAATTACAATTGTAATATTTTGACAACATCTCAACGTAAACTATCAAATGACAGTAAATCGGATAAAAAGTAGACAAGAAAAGTAACATGTCACAAATTATGATTACGAAAACAGTAACATGTCACGAATTATGATTATGAAAACAGTAACATGTCACGAATTATTATTATGAAAACAGTAACATGTCACGAATTATGATTATGAAAACAGTAACATGTCACGTATTATGATTATGAAAACAGTAACATGTCACGAATTATGATTATGAAAACAGTAACATGTCGCGAATTTTGATAATAAAAACAGCGCTGCATTAGTAAGATTGGAATTAACATGTAACAAATTTATGTTCATTAAAAAATAACAGTACTAGTGACTAGTCACTAATATGGCTACTTACATGTTGGCCACTAACATGTAATATATTTACGTTTATTAAAAAAAAGAAGGTTTCGTTAGTGAGATTGATTATTAACAAATTTGTGATTATTATGATAAATATACATTAGTGAACTTGCCACCAACATGTAAGTAAAATAATTATTAAAACAGCGCTACGGTAGCGGTATTGGGTACTAACATTTAACATGTTTATGGTTATTGAATTGCGATGCATTGGTAACATTAGTTACTAACATGTAAAAAATTTATGAATTACTAAAACTTAGCGCTGCGCCAGTCTATGTAAAAGCACCAGCATGTAACAAATTTGAATATACTTGTCAAATACAAAGGCTGCTTCGTAAATACGAAAGGATACAAGTGACTTGTCAATGTAAATTTAGCTTTAAGCTGTTGCTACTCACTATATTTTTAAGATAATAAGAAAATTTACTAAATTTATATCTGGACAAGTTCGGTTTAGTTTCGAGTACTGTACAAATGATATAGGTAATTCAATTATTTTGTAAATAGCAAATTATATTACCATGAAAAAATACTAAGGCCAAATATAATAAATGAGAGAATTGTAGAACATTTAATATCCGATACTCGCAAGCATGGTGTACTTGCAAGTACGTCACGCTTGCGAATACAGTTCACTTGCAAATGCATCATGCTTGCAAATACACTCCAATTACATGTACGTCGCGGTTGCGAGTATATTACACTTGCAAATACGTCACGCTTGCAAGTGCATTAAACTTGCACATATGTTACGTTTACAAGTACATTACACTTGCACATATGTCACGTTTACAAGTACGTTATAACACAAAATATATTAACTAGACTATGCCTTTATTAGTCTTATATAATTATAAACTTAATAATTTTTGGTCGACATTTTTTTTTACATTGGTCTCGATTCTGAAACGCTATTTATTTAAATCCTATCTTTTAATATTTTAATTTGATAGTTTGGTTAAGTTACAATTTTAATGGACTATCATAAAATAAATTTATAATAATTTAGACTCAAATCTATTAGAAATTTAGTTCATGTTCGTCTGTAGATGTGGGCTTGGGGCTATTTATATATAGAGATTGAGAAAGAATGAAAGAAAGATTCAATACGAGATGATATAATGAACAATAGTTACAATAAATACATTCAGAGATTAAATCAATTGTAAAAGACAAGATCATGAAAAAGGTCACTATTTATTTTTCTAAAACTACATAAGTTTTGAAGTAGTTTGGTAGCCTGCAAGTCCTTGAAGATTTCACTGTTACATTAAATTGTATATCTAAAATTATATTACTTTTATAATCGATCGATACAATCTATATTTTAGTGATATATTAATAAAGTACGAGATGATAAAAAGAAATGGCGTTCCGGAATCGATACAATTATTTTTTTACATACATGATTTACACATATGTACTAGTGTTTTTATAGAAAAATATATTTTAATCTTAACATTACTAATTTCCACACTAATGTCAAAATCACAGCATTACGTCCACAGTTGGGAATCACATTGCGAAGTACAGCAAAAATAAACTACCTCTATGAACGATAAATCTTAAGTCAAAGCGCCATAGCAGTATAGTGTATAACACTTAAATTTTAATAGGTTATAAAGGAACTCTTTTTCTTATTTTAACGTTTCTTTTTAATTTAATTAAACTTATATAAGTAGGTAGAGAACATTTTTTTTTTTAGCACAAAAATAATAAAAAAATTTATAAGATAAAAAATTATCCTAATAATTTATAATGATAAAAACGAACGAAAAAAAGTAAATAAAAAAAAGGAACAACTCGATCGTTTTATAGTTTCGAGATAGCCGCGATTTTCTTTTTTTTTTTTATTACAAACAGCTATAGCAATTTTTAGGTCGTTATTTAAAAAAATAATATCGATAAAATTACCTACGTTTAACACATCAATTGCGATAAACGAAATAAAAAAAAAATTGTCAAACGCGACTATCTCTAAATATATGGCTTTGTTGCAGTCGCATTTATTATTGGATCATGCTGCGTGCACATGTTGTGGCAAGTTTACCTGATCCAATACATTATGTACTTGCATGTATATATGTATAGTTTAAGTTTGTATTTGTAAACTTCTGTTATGTGTGCCTAATAAATAAAATAAAATATATATTGAAATACATAGTTCTCCACCTACGCTGATGATTATAAAATATAAAATATTGATGTAGGAATGATAATGATAAAAATGTGTATATCTTTGTAAACTTAACAGAATATTGACAGTTTATATTATATAAAAACATAGTTAAAAAACATACTATATGTACTATACTAAAAAAAAAAACTATGCAATAAGACCGCCTTAATGTACTTGTACCATTGTGTAATTAATTATTACTCGTCTTGCTTTATTTCCTATGTTGTTTAATACACATAGAAGATGATCATTCATTCATTTAATGATTGATTATTCATTATATATATATATATATATATATATATATATATATATATATATATATATATATATATACATATATACATATATACATACACAGGCATATAGACAGACAGCATTTATTCCCTATGTTTTATAATTACAAATAAAGGACTCATTCATTCATTGAACGATTGATTAATTTTTTTTTTATTTTGGTGTTCAGCATTTATTCTCTATATTGTATAATGCAAATAAAGGTTATTAATTTATTCAATAATTGATTTTTTAATTTCTAAATACAGAGTAAATAAATTTGCATGTTTTTTTTTTAATAAACTAATACATCTAGGTACACATAGTAGACAATTTTGGTATGTCTTTAAAAATAAATACTAACCGCGATGCATCGTTGTAATATGGCAGTTTACGAAACATAATAAATTAAAACTTAAAATTACGTTTTGGTAAAACATTCATTCTTAATCGAATCGAATCATATTTTATTTATAACTATGAATATATAAAATCTTATACGAAAAACGTCTCTTACTAAACTAGTATAGCTAAAAATTATGTAACGCTAGCAAATATGAGGTATAACCACTTGATAAAAATAATATTTCCCAATTACCATTTGTAACGTGTAAATAAATTATAAAATACGAATAATCTGTAAGCCAAAGTGGTAATAGGCGGTCACAACTCGAGCGACCGATTACAAATGGTGAAAAAAGGCTCTTGGTAGGCGACTGTGTGCAGGCAAACGTAGCTGAGCGACCCCCCGCGAGATGAAGTGACGATCTCAAGTGTCGAAGTCGCTTGATGCACATATTTAATCTACATAATCGAAATTTAATCGAACCTTAATGATATTTTATGATTAATACAAAAAATAAAAGATTAAATATAATTAGGGTCACATTTTTTTCTTAAGATTAAACGGATAATTGTTTAATAGTAACTAAAAGACTTAAAACTAGTTTTTAATTAAAAAAGAAATTAAGCTCATTAAATAACTATGGTCACATTTCTTTTTCTTAAAGATAAGGATAAAGGATTATGTTTTACAAGTGAACTTGACTTGATTTTAATAAAGTTTTTTTTTTTATAAAATATAATAATACTTATAATTATGGTCACATTTCTTTTTCTTAAAGATAAATGTAGATATAATTTTAAACGTAACAGACTTAAATTAGTTTCTTTTTTTTTTATTATTTATAAATAATACTTTAATAATATCAAATATTTATGGCCACATGTTTTTTTTTTCAAGCTTACTAATAACACGTCATCTTACATTAAGTACGAATAAAGCAAAATAAAATTAAAAGACCTAGATAGTAATAAGAAAAAAGAAGTTTTACTTAACTATAAAGTTATAATAATTTTTAACTTAAATACAAAAATTAAATGTAAGCGTTCTCGCTTGTGTAATATAACAGGAACGAACATTACATTAGTAAAGTCAAAATTTAACATTGTATATAATTACAAAATTTCAATTTAATTAATAAGAGTGTTACATTACAAACTCTAATTTTGCACACATTAGAGTTTGTAATATAACATTGTATATAGTTAACAAGATTAGCTGTAAACGCTCTCGTGTAATATAACAAAAATGACCACTACGTTAGGAACGTCGAAATTTAGCAATGTTGAATTAAAGTCTTAACATTGTATATAGATTACAAAATTTCGATTTTACTGTTAAGATTGTTACATTACAAACTCAAATTTTACATACATTAGAGTTTGTAATATAACATTGTATATAATTAACAAGATAAATGCTCTCGTGTAATATAACAGAGATGAATATTGTATATATATTATTGTTACATTACACCAGCGCGTTCACAGTTAACACTAACTCTAAAAGTATTGTAAAGATTTAGAAAAAATAAATTCTCATTTTTTTTTTTTTTATTAAAGTCAGACTTTTTACTCTTTGTGAATAATACTTCCTGTATTAAGATTTTTAGGTGCCAGTACCTTGAGCTATCAGGATCTTTGTCAAAATTTTATTGTCTCGTAAATATAAAATATATATATATATATATATATATATATATATATATATTCTCTATGACTTTGTAATCATAGTTTTTTTTTTAAGAGACCAGATATCTAGAGAACCAGATTTCCGAGATTTCAGAGAAATCTGGTTTTCATAATGGATTTTTTTTTTAATTTTTATTCGGTCAGTTTTTTTTTTCTTTTTTATTTTCCTTTCCGCTCTCAATTTAGATAATCAAGACATCTTCGTCGCAATTCTCGTAGGCGTTAACTTTAGAGCTTTCATTAAGCAAATTAGCATAATTCTTCAGATGTCTCTTTCCATTTGTATGATTGTTGATAGTTATATCTTTATTTGGCACTTCATTATTACAAATTATACAGTTTATTAATTCACTATTTACCTGAAAAAAAAAAAGGCATTTTGTATTCATTCATTATTCAATCGCATTCCTATATAGTACATACCGTATATACTAGATGTCGCCACTGACAATTTTGAAGGTGATACAGTTTGTTTCGATAGTTTAGATCTTAGATTGTGAAGTATAAATTTTTATTGATATTTTCTTCAATATTGTAGAACATACTTTTGTTCTATCACCAATAGTTTCCGCAGCGCACGCGACCAAAGATATTTTATAGCATTTTTTGTACACCTTGAGTTACGTTACTATAGTTTTAGTAAGGATCCCTAATCTTTTCTAGCAATAAATATAGCCTATGTTACTCAGGGTGAATGTAGCTTTCTAATGGTGAAAGAATTTATGAAATCGGCAAAGTTGTTTTTGAGTTTATTCATTACAAACATACACACACACACAAAAAATACAAATCTTTCCTCTTTACAATATTAGTGTAGATAATTGTGCCTACGAAACATTTAACAATAAAAAAGCTAGTGTGATAATAAGAAGAATATTAATAAAATATATACCTCTCTCAATAAAGCCGGATAATACTGTTCAATAAATGATTTTTTGGTATTTTTTACATGCTCCACTGTTTTGACATGTGCGTTAACATCGAATAGTTGTTCTTGGCATAACAAACATTTATATGCAGAAATGCCCATTGTGATACCATTCCAAGCGCTCCAATTAACTTTCAATACGTTATCATAAACAATAACTATTTTATTCTTCTTAACCGGCACGTGTACAATTTCTGCCACCAGATGGTAGTGTATGTGCGGTTCTTTCACACCACGATAAATGATTTCCTTTTGACAGGACAAAGTGTATAATTTAAAACCAGATTTAATTAGATTCTTGCGTTGTTTCCTTGAGATGGCTGCGTTCTCTTCTATAATCTGATTATGGTGAGGCCATTCCAAATGTTGCGGTAAGTCTGAACGGTATATTATAATGTTGCATAAGGCACAGTGATAGGTGAGGTAGGACTGGAACAATAAAATATTTATGATTGCGGAATAACCAAGTAATTTAAGTAGGAATGAAAAAAAAATGAAAAAATATTGTCTATGAAAGTGGTTTACACTAAACAAAAACAACTAACGGGAAATTCATTCCCCGCTTTTTTTTTATACAAATTAGAGTGGCAAACAAGCTGACGGCCCAACTGATGGAAAGTGGTAACCGTCGCCTATAGACATGAGCAGTACCATGGACATAACAGAGTATACTGTTCCGCCCATAATACCCCCCATGCGTTGCCATTCCTGAGGACTCAGATGTTCCACCCTTCAAACCGAAACGCAGCCATGCAAACACAGCTGCTTCACGGTTGAAACACGAATGGGACAGAGGTACCCGAGCAATCGACTTTTGTACAAAGTCTCCCGCTTGACCCTAAATGGTCACGTACAGTACGATTTCAAAGGAATTTTCGCCCGCGAACGCTCAGGCTGGGGAACGACATGTCGAGGATTTCCCTAGAGACTACAGTATGGGGTTCTTCAAAAAAGGTATAACCCAATAATATAAAGTATAAAGGTATACCCTTGGCACTCCGTTATCGCCATATTTACGACATTAAAATGCTAACATTAACTCCTTTGTCGTGTCTACGGCGACTCGCTTGTTTTACTGAGTCGGCGTCTTTTATAAAATAACGTGAATTTACTAGGTACAGAGGAATAACACCTGAGTCCTCAGGAATGGCAACGCATGGGGGGGTATCATGGGCGAAACAGTATACTCTGTTATGTCCATGGTACTGTTCATGTCTATAGGCGACGGTTACCACTTTTGATAAGGTGGGCCGTCAGCTTGTTTGCCATTCTAAGTTGTATAAAAAAAAGCTAAGAAATAAATGTTTTATTTTATTGCAACGACTGTTAGTAATGGAGACTGAGAATCCCATTGCTAACAATATACCCAGCCACGTCGACCTCCTCGCAGTTCCCCCTGGAAACTATCATGGTTAATTCCTGATGAATTCATCATGATGGGCTAACTGGCCTGGTTTCATTCTCATCTATCACCCTTCACTGGTGCTCCGCCAGCGTGTCCCGTTAGCGCAGGCGGGGTCACCATACCATTATCACCCATCAAAAAAAAAAATAGCCCAATCGGCTGGACCTATCCTGATGTCGTTTATACGACTTCGGTATAGGTCCAAAGATAAAAAGGTAAAAAGCACTCCTCACCTGACGGATCAAATGATTCTTGTAACTATCCAAAAATTTGCATTCCTCCAGATTCTTCTCGTGATCACGTGACTCTATATGTCTTTGCAAATGTTCAAAATCAACTTCTGTGCTACAAACGAAACAGTGTCTGGAACCGCTGCCGGTGGCGACCAGTGAATTATACGAGGTCAAAGTGACCTTATAATAGTCTGCGTCTAATTTCACAAACACTTTTGCTTCCACATTTAATGGTGTTTCTATTTCTAAGGCTACATCTTTTATATTTGTCTCTAATTTAGTTTTATTATCATTCTTCACTATTACATTTGTATCCAAATCGATATTGTTTGCAATTAATTCGCTTCTATTTATTACATCAACAGTTTCATCCACACTCACTGTTGTCTTGGCATCTTCCATATTAACTGCATCTGGTTTTCCCATGTTTTGCTTCAAATCGGGTAGAACGTTAACGGGCGCCTTAATACCTAATGCTAAGTTTAATTTTAACAAATGATTTGGATCCTGTACGTGGCCACGTATCACGTTATCGTCTTTTATTATAGGTATATTGCATAGACCGCAATGGAATGCGCCTCGGATCTGTAAATATGAAATTTTAAATCAAAGATTCCAATACTATGGTCTGTTCGGCCTTGTACCAATTATTTAAGGCATAATAACTAAATTCTCTTCCATTTATCTCTATTTGCTGTCATTTCAGCATTCACTCTCATTCTAGCCTTTTTTTATGGATGATAATGGGATTGTAACATAATATGATAATAATTATTTTAATAATACAGTAAGATCCCGTTTAGATTTTTTTTTTAATGTTCGAAAATGGAATGGTAGCCCCGCCCGCGCTATCGGTATACACCGACGAGGCACCAGTGGAAGATGATAGGTGAGAATGAATGCCAGTCAGTTGGCCCACTGTAATGAATCCGACAAGAATTAACCATGATGGTTTCCAGGGGGAACCACATTGAGGTCGACCTGAGAGAGTATATTGCTAGCAATGGGGCTATTAGATCCCATAACTAACAATCCGTTTCCCCTCGGTTTAAAGAGTAGGATACGTTCCATCCAAGTAAAGCGTAATGTGAAACAGCGCTAAAAGAGACTATCTTAATGTGTAACACGAAGTTAGCGAAAGATGGATAGACAATTGAGGCCTACAAAATCAAAGGCAACTAAATGCCATAAAATGATGATAATGGTATGGTAACCCCACCTGCGCTATCGGTATACACTGGCGGGGCACCAGTGATAGATGACAGGCGAGTATGAAAGCAGATCAGTTAGCCCATCGTGACGAATGCAAGAAGTATTAATCACAATGGTTTCCAGGGAGAACCGCGTGGAGATCGACCTGACAGGGCTTGTTAGCAATGGAGCCATAAGTCCGCATTACTAACAATCCCTTTCCCCCCCACGAAACAGAATTAAGCAGGGTCTTACTGTATATATATATATTATATTTTATAACCTTATATTATTCGCCACTGAACTATTTTTGAAAACTGAAATGTAAATGCGACGTTACCAAACTTGACTGAGCTAAAGTTATGAAATCTCTATGAATATTACCAGAGGGAGACTTTGTACAAAAGTTGTTTGCTTGGGTACCTCTGTCTCATTCGTATTTTAATCGTAAAGCAATTGTGTTTGCATGGCTGTGTTTCGGTTTCAAGGCTGTTATATGGCGTAAATTTACAAGGTACAGAGGAATAACACCTGAGTCCTCAGGAATGGCAACGCGTGGGAGGTATCATGGGCGAAACAGTATACTCTGTTATGTCCATAGTACTGCTCATGTGTATAGGCAACGATTACCACTTTCCATCAGGTAGGCCGTCAGCTTGTTTGCCATTCTAAGTTGCATAAAAAAGAATTCTCTTAACGTATTACTTACATCTCTTAACAGGTGACACCCGAATTGTGGTATGAAAGGATGAGCATGAAGGAAACTCACATGCATGACGCTTTCAATATGGCATAGTATTCTATCCTTGCTTTCCTTCATATCACACAAACCACATAAATAATGATCAACTTTTTCGCATACAACATGAAATGATATCATTTGGACACGCATATTATAATTGAAAACATTTAAAACAATGTTAGAATAAAGACTATCACAATTTATATTTTCTATTTTATTCACTTTGTTCACTTCATTAATATATCTATCACTTCCATCAAAAGTGATAGGTATGTTAGTGTTCCTTGCAGGATTACCAATGCTTATATATCCGTTAGTTACTTTGTCATATGCATTTCCTGTATTGTTATTCACAACTTGAGATGTTGAAGGCATTGCGTCCTGAATCACATTTCTACCAGCCCTCGAATGCCAACTCTCCAAGTGTTCTTCGATTTGATAATTGAATTCAAGGTTATTGCAATGTGCACAGTGGACTTTCTTTTCGTCGACCTAAAATTGGTTTTAACATATTAGATACCTATCAAGTATTACGACACACCCTCAACGGCGATCTGATCGGACCACCTAGCGTGACGCAAGAAGGTGCGCTACCGAGGAAGACACCTGCGTCGAGTCAGCGTTTCAATTCCCGCAGCAAAAATACCCATTTCCTTTATGTTTGATTTTATATAACTTCACTTACGGATCACACATCGATCTGAAGACGCTTATTATTGTAGTAATAAATTTTAGAATTAAATTTAGTTATATTTATAGAATTGTTTTTTTTTTTGGGTCTTCCGCCAGAGACTTCAATAACTAGTGTAGCAACTTCGTAAAACAACAACGTGTGTGTGTAGTTAAGAAACCCACTTTTTAAGTGTAGCAACTATTAGTGGGTCAGCAACCGCAGTTAGGCTTTGGTAATGTTTAACCCTTCTTTGCATACTTGTGGAAATTTCCATCATAACATTGAATGCCCAAAAATTATATAAAAGAACACATTAAGTTGATCGTGTCTGGATACCTTTTTAATGTCCATTGCAGAAAAAAAAAACATAGCTGTTAAATTTATTGTTTTAACCATGTTTCCTTTAATTTAAAACATGAATTATATCACTTTGATTATATGACTTTGATTTCACCAATAAAAAAAAAAAACATGCAAAAAAGGGTTAAAAAGAGATTGCTGTTTCTCCCTCGACTATTAAATTTCCTTAGTAGCTCCTTACGACACCCACGGGAAAGGAAGGGATAGCTCATTCTATGCCGGGATTATGCCTCTACTAAACCGAATTACAAAAATTTTGTAATTGAATCCTTCACATACTTCCAAATACTTGCCGTGTGGTTCCGGCATAGAATCGACCACCCCTTCCTTTTCCGTGGGTATCGTAAGAATCGACTAAGGAAAGGCGAGGGATGAACAGCAGCGTCCCTCTAAAAACATCTTTAAAGCCTAACTGCGGTTGCAAATCCGCCTTCCAAGCGTGGCAACTAGTGGCAAAACCCCCCAAGGGAGGCTTAGGGAGGAGCAGTGGACAGTTAAAGGCTGACGAGATGACGAGACTCCAAATTTTTTTTTTTTTTTAATTTTATTATCATACATAAATACATTAAAAAAATTGGATTTTTGGTACCACTTAAACCTCTAGGGCTTGTTACACATACCTGTCTAATCAAATAACTAGTGTAAGCAGGTAGTACTTTGCACTTATCTAAATTTCCGACATGATCAGCTCCCATACAATGCTTAGATTTATTGCCAATATGGTCAGAATATTTACACACCATACAATAGAATTTATTATTCTTCAATATCAACACCATATGCCACGACTCGACGGTGACTCTGAATTGTTTGTTACCATTACTCTTGTAAACGTATTTGGGTAGTTTTATTGTGGGCTTTTTCGTCATAGCTGCGTACGACATGCCCATAAACAGATCATTCTCATTATCAACAATTTCATCATCATCATCATCTACGACATCATCATCAATGATATCGTCACTAATACTGTTACAGTCCTCGTGCTGTCTATTATTTAAAGCGTCCGCATCAAAATGGTAGCATTCAGTTTTCTTACTGTCTCTAGTGTGATCGCCATCAACAAAGATATCCAGAGCTTTGTTGATGGCGAACAAATAGTTGTTCTCGTGTGATTTAGCCGCATTATGATCATCTACCTCCTCAATATCAAATACTTCATTGCAAACAGCGCAATGGTACCTCTCTACGATCTGAAATAATAAATCTAGAGTAATTTATTTATTTATTCATAGGATTACCAACATAAGATACAGCGAAACATTTCAATACAATACACTGGTAGATTAGATCTAACTGTTCTTACATTTATAGGCGACCGCAGCGTGCCTTGTGTTTGATAAACATTAAAATAGAATTAAATTATGAAATGTCATTATATGATGAATCTACAAATGAAGAATAGAAAAGTTATTATAATAAATAAATAAATATTTGTATTTCAGGTTTACATGCATTAATATAATTAAATTTTAATTAATTATATTTTTTACATTACACAAACATTCATTCATTAAAATACCAATTACAATTATTTCATTGTAAATAATTAGGTACGCAGTGTGGAATATTGTCTTAAAAATAGGATGTGCGTATGGGCGTGTGGCTGTAGATGTGCGTATGGGCGTGTGGCTGTAGATGCGGGTATGGGCGTGTGGCTGTAGATGTGCGTATGGGCGTGTGGCTGTAGATGTGCGTATGGGCGTGTGGCTGTAGATGCGGGTATGGGCGTGTGGCTGTAGATGTGCGTATGGGCGTGTGGCTGTAGATGTGCGTATGGGCGTGTGGATGTAGATGCGGGTATGGGCGTGTGGCTGTAGATGTGCGTATGGGCGTGTGGCTGTAGATGTGCGTATGGGCGAGTGGATGTAGATACGGGTATGGGCGCGTGGGTGTAGATACGGGTATGGGCGCGTGGGTGTAGATGCGGGTATGGGCGTGGGCGTGTAGATGTGCGTATGGGCGCATGGGTGTAGATGTGCGTATGGGCGTGTGGCTGTAGATGTGCGTATGGGCGTGTGGATGTAAATGTGGGTATAGGCGCGTGGGTAATATAACTGCTTTTTGTAAAATAGAACTAGAGGCCCCGCCTACGCTATCGGTATACACTGGCAGGGCACCAGTGATAGATGATCAGTCAGGTCAGGTGAATCAAGCCCAGGTGACGAATGCACAAGAATTAACCACGATGGTTTCCAGGGCGGATCGCGTGGAGATCGACGTCTTAGGGTATACCGCTAGCAATAGGGCTTTTAGACCCCATTACAAGCAATATCTTCCCCAGTGGGTTGTGCGCGTGCGTGCCTTTACGTGCGTGCATGCGTGCGTGTGTGTGTGTGTGTTAACGTATGTGCGTGTGTATATGTGCATGCGTGCGTGGGGATATATAACTGCGCGCGTACATTGCGTGTATGTGAACATTAATGGCGAAGCATGGATGTACTAATATAGTGACGTAACATACCTGTCTTATAATGCTCAAATCAAACATCTGCAACGGTTTGCACGAACTCAAGGCTTTCTCATGCATATCATTTGAAATGTGGCTAGCACAGTCATTGAAATGGAAAGATTCGTCACACACGAAGCAGCGTACGTTTTTGACGTTGTAGAAAACCAGCGTGTTCCACTGATAGATGGGTAAGTAAACGCTAGAATTTATAATAACACCATGCGGTAACTTCAGCAAAGTAACAGCCAGAAAGTCACTTTCGTCTGCTATATCTGAAATAAATACATTTATATAATTTTTTTTCAGTGGATTACAATGAAATGGTATGGATTGGCCGCAGATGACCTTTACAGCTTCACTGTGCAGGGATGAGTGCAGATGGCACTACAAGCCCGCAAGAAAGGAGTTACAAAGTGTCTCTTACCACGGAGTATGAATTACGACGTATGCCCAAGGGCGCTAGAGCAGCTCGGATCTAGGCTTTTTTTTTCAATGGATGATAATGGAATGGTAACCCTGTCTACGCTAACGGTATACACTAGTGAGGCACCAGTTAGGAATGACAGATGAGTATAAAAAGGCAGGTGTTACCCCATCGTGATAAATACACCTTTTTTTAACGTCTGGAAAATGCTTTATGCAGGTGAATGGGTACTGTGGGAATCTCCCCGTAAGGCAGGGGTGTACCCACCAAAAACCAGACGATATACCCTCGAGGTGCCATATGTCGGAGACATGGATTCGCTTTCGCACTCACTACATCTCCGACGGGTGATGAATACACCTGGGATTGAGCACGATGGTTTCCAGGGGGAATCAAGGACAGGTCGACTTGACAACATACCCTATATTGTTAGCAATGGGACTGGTAGTCCGCACTACCTACAATCCTCCCCCCCCCCTCCCTATATCAATATATTGAATAATAACTGCCCACTACTTTGTACCACTGGATTTCAGAAGTGAGATAATAAATGAATTAAAGCATTTCTAGATAGCGTATCGAGGTGAAACATACACTAGATTATCATTCCCATTGCTAGCAATATATCCTATCTGGACGACCTCCACACGACTCCTCCTAGAAACCGTGGTGGTAATTACAATTCGTCACGATGGATCAACTACAAATATCAGTTAGTTAAAATATTAAAAAAAGCCCCGAGATATTTTTACAACGCCATCTATCGGTAACAATTGTAAGTGTAACTTTGAATAGATAAATGCGACGCAAAGCACATACCATCATCAGAGTTCTCTTCATCAGAATCGGGTAGCGCGCAGTACCTCTCGTCCGTGTCGAACATTTTGAAAAAGTTCGGCGTGTCCATTTTCTTTGCGTATATACAAACTACTTGATACTTCAAGGGCTGGTTTTGAACTTTGTAAAATTCACCATTTATCGAATAAACTACATCGTTCACGTATCCGTATATATTTCGATTTACATTTCTGTCTGTATATGTTTTGTTGTTGTTATTTATAATGTCTTTGTTTATATATATTTTTGGAAATTTATCCTCTCCGTCAATATCAGTCTGATTTATTTTCTTCTGAGTTCCACCGCTTAGTTTCATGGCACTGTAATAATTTTAAAATTATTAACATAATTAATACAAATTTAATAAAATCTGCTATAATCTTATTTTTTTATGCAACTTAAAATGGCAAACAAGCTGACGGCCCACCTGATGGAAAGTGGTAACCGTCACCTATAGACATGAGCAGTACCATGGACATAACAGAGTATACTGTTTCGCACATGATACCCCCCATGCGTTGCAATTCCTGAGGTGTTATTCCTCTGTACCCTGTAAATTCACGCCATATCCTACCCTTCAAACCGAAACACAACCACGCAAACACAACTGCTTCACGGTAGAAACACGAATGGGACAGAGGTACCCAAGCAATCGACTCTTGTACAAAGTCTCCCTTTGTATTAATATTAATTTATGTATTTATTACATGTATGTTTATATAGTCTTATGTGAATATATTAAATATTAGTTTATATTTCCTCAATTCATAAATGCACTGTCTACTTGTTTCTTGGTGAAAGCAGTAAGCATATGAAGGGTAGTGATAGTGAAAAAGTAGTGACATAATTATTGTAAATAAATAAAAATAACAATACATACACATAATACATAAGAAAATAAAATATAATACATAAATATTACTTTTAATTTATATTAAAATACAATACAATTTTTTTTTTATTATTTTTCTAATTGAACTGTCAAATCTTAAAATCATTAAACGAAATTTCTAATGTAAGTAGTATATTCATTTATTTTAACATTTATTATATAAGTAGGTAGGTATTATATGTATTTATAGTGTATGTGTTTATGTAATATTTTATTACATATTTTATTTAACTGTATATTTGTTTATGTATTAATAGTTGTAGCACTTCAGCTGCCCGCTAACGACATGCTATCTAGTTGTATTGGATTGACTGAAAGAGATCTCTGTCAGAGATAAGTCCACTCCTTGCTCACAATATTTACAAATGCTATATTACATGTAATTTACAAGTGCAATAAAGAATATATAAATATATATAAATAAATATATACATATACATATATATATATATATATATATATATATATATATATATCAGTGAAGGATAATAGGTGAAGATGATAGCAGATCAGTTAGCCCATTGTGACAAATTCAACAAGAATTGTTCACAATGGTTTCCAGGGGCAACCATGTGGAGGTCGACCTATTAGGGCATATTGCTAGCAACAGGGCTGTCAAACTCAATTGCTAACAATCCCTTCCCCCCCCCTCTATTTTGTAGGACTTTTTTTTGATAAGTGAAAATGGAACGGTAACCCCGCCTGCGCTAATGGTATATGCTGGCAGGGCAACAGTGAAGGGTGATCGATGAAAATAAAAACAGGTCAGTTAGCCCATCATGATGAATTCATCAGGAATTAACCATGATAGTTTCCAGTAGGAACTGCGTGGAGGTCGACCTGATGAGGTACATTGCTAGCAATGGGATTCTTAGTCTCCATTACTAACAATTCCTTTCAGCCCAACGATTTTGTAGGACTACCATGTGGAATTCAACCTGGCAGGTATGATGATGATATGGGAATGGTAATCTTACTTGTACTGTGATATACACTGGCGGGACACCAATGAGAGATGGTAAATGTAGATGGAGGAAGATAATTTGGCCCAGTTTTTTTTTATACAATTTAGAATGGCAAACAAGCTGACGGCCCACCTGATGGAAAGTGGTAACCGTCGCCTATAGACATGAGCAGTACCATGGACATAACAGAGTATACTGTTTCGCCCATGATACCCCCATGCGTTGCCATTCCTGAGGACTCAGGTCCAGTTCGATAAATTCACTTAGAATTAACCATAATAATTTCCAGATGATGATGGAAACAGGTTAACCAGATGGGATATCTCTCTAGCAGTAGAGCCACAAGTCCCATTGCTAAAAATCCCTTCTCCCTGGGATGACTAGTTTGAATGTTATGGTAGAACAAACATACTTAAACTGCTAAAATATAAACTATGCATTTGCTATTGCCATAGTCAAGTATATATGCAATTTAAAAGAAAAAGGTGGTAAGCCTGGGCAAGAGTATTTGCCTCAAAAGTAGACATGCAAAATTTGATATGCACTTAAAAATAGTAGAATTAAAAAGTATAGTGTTCAAATCTAATAATAAAAAAACATGGAGTTTTAACTAATTAATTATATTAAAAAACTTATAAACATAATAATACCTATATTCTTGATTTATTTTTTATTTAATTCTTCCTAATTAAACTTAATTAAGTAAATAATTACATTTAAGCAAAGCCAGCACAGTCTCTAGTAAACTATAAAAGTAATATAACTTTCCTTTTTTAAATTATTAAAAAAGAATTATAAAAAAGTAAACTTACATCCTAGGAGACTGATGTATAAGTACATAGCTAAGCTACTGAGGTTAGAAGATTGAAATATTTACAATGTAGGCATTTTCTAACAATGTTGCAAAACTCACACCTACCTACCATGAAATATTTTTAGTAAACAGCCATAAATCACTGAGAACTATGAAATGGACGCTTGGTCTTGGTTGCAGAAATTAAAATGAAAAAATAAAAATGAATGTTTATGAAATGTTTGGTCTGTAGGTACCTTTTGTTTGCTAACTTCCGTGGAAATTACGTGACTTTAATGTAAATAACAGTTCAAGGGGAAAAATCATAGGGTTTATGTGAATTTATGAATGCAGACAAACTGTTTATTTAAATAGATATAAATAATAAATTTTTTTTCAACATCAGTTATCTGTGGAATAGAAAATTTGTAAAAAAAAACCGTGATTGCTGCCAGGTACTTACCAAATCACAAATAAGTTTAAAAAATTAAAAACATAATGAACAATGAAATTAAATATTTCACAAACAAACATAAACATCGCAAACACCAAATCATGATATGTGCCAAATATATTGCGCCAAGTATTTAAGCAATTTTTTAATGTATAAAAATGGTATTTTCTTTGTCTTACAGAAATTCACTTGAAAGTCACTAGTAAACACAATTTTATTTCACGTCACGACTAAAGCACGGAACAACTAGAAAACTATAACTAACTTGTGAATCAAAGTAATTAAAAAGTAAAAAGAAACATTAAAAAGTCTAGTAAAGTTTTTCAAAACTGAATGCAAAATTGCAAATGGAAACTGGGGTGGGGTAAGATTAAATAGATATGGCTTTATCGATTATTAATAATCGAATAACCGATTATCGTAATAAAACAACTGTAATTCTCATTTTGAAATATATTACCAAAACTAATTTTCAATAAAAGTCGACTCACTTTGTGGTTTAATTTTTTTTTTTACTTATTTAATTTTAAAATCAATTTTTCTTCGTTTTTCTTTAAATACAATGGTCATTTTAGGACTATTATTGTATTATGTTATATATTATAAAAGAAATTTATTATGATTCGTTATAATACATTGCAAAACTATTATATTAGTTCCTTTATTTTATTTTATTGGCACATAAAACAGATCACAAGCATAAAAAACTTAAGTAATAATTACATTTGTGATTTGGCTAGGTTATAATCCAATTACGTTATGTGCACAGCTTGAGTAATTCATTAAAAGCAAACACATAAAATAAAAAGAATGCATATAATAATAAAAATAAACTTTATCTGCGACTGAATCCGCGCGACCGAGATATATTCGTTGACTGAAACAAAAGCTAGTCCATGTTCTGTTTTTCTCGACTCCAAATAGTAGAAATATCCATCTACACCAAACATAACAATTATTCATTGAACTATCAAGTTGCAACTTGGCGAACTGTCAACCGCATTTTTATAACATTAATTATTTAGTAATTTATTTGTGACATTATTATTGTTTTGTTTTTTACTGGATGATTATAACACAGCAATGTCATTATCTTCAACAAAGAGATTACAACAAACAAATATCTAGAAAACACATTATTTTACGTTTATAATAATTAACTAACCATGGACACTCTACACATAAATGCAAATTATTGTTTTTTACTACTACAGTATTATATTATCTGAGCGACTACAGACACAATTAATATCTAAACAGTCACACGCACACACGTGCATAATGAAATTTAAGTTATTGTTGCAAATAAACTAAATTAATGTGTGTAAGTAATTACTAAACAAATGTATTTAACTCACCACAACAAAAATTCTGAATATGTGTTAATATAATTATCAATTCAAAATTTCAACACCATTAGTCAAATAGATATTGGCGTACGTTGATAATATTTATAAAAAATTTTTATCCAACCAGTGAAAAGTAATCGAGTATGTAAAGGATTTCTTATTGACTCGTATCCATAATCGATTATCATAATATTTCATAAGATACATCACTATGAAATAATCTGTGCACTAATTCCCCATATTAATGTTGCTACTATAAAAATATGTTTTTTTTTTTAATTTTAAAATGATATTCGAAATTAATGCTTATTTTGTAACTGATTTGTCGGTTTTTTGATCAATTACCTTCATTTAACACATAGATGTTTTGCAACATAAGGATCTTATATGCGTTAGAAAAGGAGTTGACCTATTATAGAATTCATTAAATACTCAACATACTTACTTCATTTTATAAATGTGGATGAATATTTGTTTTTTTTTTAATGTTCGAAAATGGAATGGTAACCCCGCCCGCGCTATCGGTATACACCGACGAGGCACCAGTGGAAGATGATAGGTGAGAATGAATGCAGGTTAGTTGGCCCACCATGATGAATTCGACAAGAATTAAACATGATGTTTTCCAGGGGGAACCGTGTGGAGGACAACTTGAGGGGGTATATTGCTAGTAATGCGGCTATTAGACCCTATTACTAACAATCCCTTTCCCCCCAGAATATTTGTTTATCCTATAGCACCTTAACGGTTTAACCAATCACTATGAAATTTGGTATACAAATACTGTACGATATGGAGAAATATATTTTTTTTTTACAACACAGGGGGCAAACGAGCATGCGGCTCACCTGATGGTAAGTGACTACGGCCGCCCATGATCACCCACAACACTAACGGCATTGCAGGTGTGCTGCCGGCCTTTTAAAAAGGAATATGCTTTTTTCTTGAAGGTTATGTTGTCGTATCGGTTCGGAAATACTGCTGCTGGAAGTTGATTCCAAAAAGTGGTTGTGCGTGGGAGAAAGTGCCTTGAAAAACGCACGGTGGAGGACCGCCACTCGTCCAGATGGTTGGGATGGAATTTTAGTTTATAGCGGGTTGTACGATGGTGAAAATCAGCAGCAGGTATCAATCCGAACAATTTTTCAGAGCACTCCCCATGATAAATTCGGTAGAAGATGCACAGAGACGCAACATCTCTACGCAATTTCAGTGGGTCGAGTCGAACAGTAAGACGCCGATCGTCAACAATTCGAGCTGCCCGAATTTGAATGGTTTTTTTTTAATGGGTGAAAATGGAATGGTAACCCCGCCTGCGCTATCTTTATTCGCTAGCGGGACACCAGAGAGAGGTGATAGGTGAAGGTGAAAGCAGGTCAGTTAGCCCATCGTGAAGAATTCCGTGAGAATTAACCACGATGGTTTCCAGGGGGAACCGCGCGGAGGTCGACCTGATAGGGTATGTTGCTAGCAATGGGACTTCTAGATTCCATTACTAACAATCCCTTTCCCCCCAACTTTAAATGATTTGTTGGCTTTGTTGGCTACATTTTATTTCATGAAATCACAGGTAAATTCTAACAACTTACAAATATGATTTTCATTTTAAGATTAAAGATTTTTTATAAAATGCACATATTTATTGTTACTGATTTCTCTAATTCTCAATTTTTTTTTTTTTTGCAGGTGTATTTGAGGTTGCAAACAAGCATAGGGCCCACCTGATGGTAAGCCATTAAAAATTAGGTATGGTAAAATTATAAATGCATTCTAAATTTTTAATCGACTCTAAAAAAAGTACTTTATTTTTTTTCGATCTGTACTTGCTATTGGCTGCAGATAGCCTATACAGTGCGAGTGCAATTGACACTCCAAGCCCGTGAGAGAGGAGCGACGCAATGTCGTCTCTTACCAAATAAATTGTGGCATACGCCCAATGCGCCAGAGCGACCTCAGCTTAAGCTGCCGTAGGTGATAATGGAATGGTAACCCCACCCATGCTATCGGTATACACCGGCGGGGCGAGCTTAAGCTGCCGTACTTCGAGCCCCGTCGAGAGGGGGGAAAGGGATTGTTAGTAATGAAGACTGTGAATACCATTGATAGCAATATAACCAACCAGGTCGACCTCCTCGCGGTTCCCCCTGGAAACTATCATGGTTAATGCCCATTAAAATAAACCCTCCATCTCTCGACGGGGGACTTTTTTTTATGGGTGAAAATGGTATGGTAACCCCGCCTGCGCTAACGGAATTCGCTGGCGGAGCACCAGTGAAGGATGATAGGTGAGGATGAAGCAGGTCAGTTGGCCCATCGTGACGAATTCAACAAGAATTGTTCACGATGGTTTCCAGGGGGAACCACGTGGAGGTCAACCTAATAGGACATATTGCTAGCAATGGGGCTGTCAAACTCCATTGCTAACAATACCTTTCCCCGCCAAAGAGATGGAGGGTTGGTTGAGTTCGAGGAGTTGGGGGGCAACCGCGTAGAAGTCAACCTGATAAGGTATATTGCTAGCAACACGAATGGGACAGAGGTGGCCAAGCAAACAAGGTATCTGGGGGGCGTGTACTTGCAATAAAACATATTGTCATTATTTAAAAATATGATTTTATTTATATTACATACAAATCAGTACATTTTCATACACTTTAGTGTTCTAATTCAATTAATAACAACATATCTTATTTTAAGGGTATCTGTAGGGTAAACGGCCTTATTACATCATTAGGTCACATCTATAGATTAGTTATATATATATATACATATACATATACATATATATATATATATATATACATGTATATATATCCGTCAGTATTCTACGACTATGACGATATACTTGGAGATTGGTTAGGAAATTTGATTAAAAATCGGTTAAGTAATTCAATTTTTATATCAAAATAACTGATTTTATCACAATATAATGTTTTAATTATTATTAAATAAAAATTACAAAGTCATAAAACAAAGGGTCATAAACCTACGAGTACAGTTGGCATAATTCTTGATAAATTTTCGACTCGAGTGACCACCGATGGACAAATATCAGGTTAAAAGAAAAAAAATCTAAGTAATTATGGAGAGCATATGGCGAAAAATTTGCCGCGTGGTCGTGTGGCATAGAACAGGCCACCCCTTCCTTTCCCGTGGGTGTCGTATAAGGCGACTAAGGGAGGTCTAAGGATGGGCAGCAGCGTCCTTCTTAAAACCTCTCTAAAGCCTAACTGCAGTTGCTAATTCGCTTGCCAAGCGTGGTAACTACTGGTAACCCCCCCCCCCCCCCCAAGGGGAGGCTTATGTTCAGCAGTGGACAGTTAAAGACTGATAAAATGATAACGAAAAATATGAGCTATTTGTTTCTGTATTATAAATTAATTAATAAAAAATAATCACCATAAAAAGCACCAAAAAATAAAATCAGTATACCATTTTCTTAAGTACTAACGTGGAAAAAAAAAGGTATTAGTCATAATTTGTCTATGGTACAATCTAGTCGCTAAGAACAAGGAATTAGATAAAAGGAATGATAAAATAAAAACTGTAAATCATATGGTTGTCTCCTTTCTTCTTATACAAATATAATTAGTAAAAAGAGGACGAAAGATACACCATCAGTTGCTATTTTTCTCAATTCATAGCAGGCTAGCGTGTAGAAAATATGTAAAAAAAATTGTATTGATTTACATTACTAGATTATGTATTCGACACAGTTTATGTAGAAAGTATGCGAGCGGGTTGTATCTGAACTTGGTAGGGTTATACGGCCGTATAACGTTTTCTATAGGTAGGCATTATGTAATCCATTATGTTTACAGATCGTAATTTTTTAGATCGCATTGTCTAAATGTATCCTTTATATATATATATATATATATATATATATATATATATATATATATATATATATATATATATATATATATATATATATATATATATTAAAACTTAATACTTGAAAATGTAACTTTTGACTTGAAAATGTAATTTTCAGAACAACACAGTTACATTACACGAAAATGAAGGTGGTGTCCACCTCACAAAGGGTTGGTGGTCGTACGCATACTAATGACGGTGGAACTAAACAAAACAACACAAAATCCCTAGCTACACGTACATTCGTGGGGCTAAATTTAGCCATGAATACGGATTACGTTTAATCCACGCTAATCTATATGTGGTAAGCATAAGACAGTGTTGCGAATAGCATTTACATCATTTGATTTGATTTAGAAATCGATTATCCGGATTTTCGGTTATACGAAATAATCCTGGTTCCATTTGTTACGGATAATAGAGATTCTACTGTAATTGGTAAAGATTAAAGAAAATAATCTCGTAGAACGCTAGCCAACTCGTATTAACTCCAGCGAAATATAGAAAATATATAAATTAATATATAACAATTTATAAATCATAACTTTTTCTCTACTACTGTTAAATTTTTTGCCTAATTGTTATTCTTTCTTTCTTTATTCTTTATTGTACACAAAAGGTTATTGAAATGTAAAAACAAACATAATAGTGCACAAAGGCGAGCCTATCTCCAATAGAGATTTCTTCCAGCAAACACAATATGAGAAAACTGACAGTTCATTAGTAGTTACAGTCGTACATGTGTACCAATCGACTTAAATGTTATAGTTAAAAATAAATAAATAAAATGTCTTTACAATTGAAAAGGCCGATAGGTATAAATATATAAATAAAAAAATATATAAGTAAATAAATTGTTAGCTGGTAGAGAATGCCATAAGGCATTATTTTTATCAGTCATACAAGTTTTACGGTTTTATAAAGAAAATAAAAAAAAATACACTTGGATTGTTCATACTAAAAGACCACGTGACCGCACGGTTTGTATGAAAGCTTTTATTATATCAATCGATACTCTTTAGAGGTATTAAAATAAAAAATAAAAAAATAGTTCAAATTATCAATTGTACAATTAAGTAAATAATTTAAGTTATGGCATAGTAAGAAGTGCTTAAAATAATATACTTAAAAACTATGTGACTAAATACAAGATAAAACTATGTACACATGTTTTACTTGGTCCAGACAAAGGATTACACCAAAAAAAAAAAAATGTAACAAAAATGTCTTTTACGAAGATATAAGCCCCTTATTTATAAAAAAAAAAAAAAAAAAACTTATTTTAACTATCAGAGCTTCAATTCCTTGCCAGTCACAATATTTTAAATATTATACTATAATATTTTAAAAAATAAAGAGTTGAACGCAATAGGAAATGATAAAATACTTGAATAGCTAAAATAAAGTTAATCAGACATTTAACATTTTTATAAATAAGGGGAATCAGTGTTCACTTGTAATTTTACAATAATACTGGATGTTTACAAGCTTTTATTTAACTTGCAATGTTTATTTAAGTCATACATTGCAAGTCGCATCAGAACTAGACCCTCCTAATCGATTTTGCTCACACCTTTAGTTGTAGTAAAAATACAATATGCTATACTCAATACAAGGACTGATGCACCTTCTAAACTTGAATTCTGAGTTATGAAATTAACGGGCTTAAAAATATACGCCGCCATCTTGTGATGGCGGCCATTTTGAAATATTACAATGGAATCGATTCTTAGGCACCATTTCTCTAAACGTATCTTTTATTTTAATTAGATTATTTCACGTAACTACTATTTTATGGATTATCATAATTTATTACAATAATTTTAACTTAAACCTATTGGAAAATTTGTTGAAATAAATCCTTACAATAGTGATTTCACTGTGATATCAAATTCAGATATTAATTTCAGTGATTGGTTTAGGAAATGGCGCCTCAGAATCGACCCCCTTCTAATATTTCAAAATGGCCGCCATCATAAGATTTGGGCAATATTTTCAAGGTGTCAATATATTATCAAGATTCATTTCAAAATCCAAGAAGGTAGGATCGCCCGCTGCCATGGGAAATGTGGACATTTTGGTGTCCACCCCATAAGGGATTATAGTCGTGAACATATAAGTGAATACATTATATATAACACTATTGATGTACATAATTAACTTAGAAATTCATTAAAAATATTACTTGAACGAGTCTAAAATGAAAAAAAAAAGCTTAAGTACCTAGATAATACACATGACTAAAACAATGTAAAATAAAATACAAAGCACCTTCTGAAATAGCACATTCCTATTATAAATATCATGGGAAACCATTCCACAGGGGGGAAAGGGATTGTTCGTAATGGAGACTAAAAATACCATTGCTAGCAATATACCCAACCAGGTCGACCTCCTCGCGGTCCCCCCCTGGAAACTATCATGGTTAATTCCCGATGAATTCATCATGATGGGCTAACTGGCCTCTTTTCATTCTCATCTATCACCCTTCACTGGTGCTCCGCCAGCGTATCCCGTTAGCGCAGGCGGGGTTACCATACCATTTTCAACCGCCAAAAAAAAAACCATTCCACATTAAAATAGGTCGAAATAATATTTATAGCAATAATAATAATTTAAATAATCATTATTAATTACATATTATTTAATTGATTCTCTTACACTTTCAATTTTTCTATGCAACGTCGTACTGCATATGGCGAACAAGCTGACGGCCCACCTGATGGTGAGTGATAACCGTCGCCTATAGACATGAACAGGGTCACAGAAGTCTACGACGCCCGTGGCACCTTCGTGTTGCCATTCTTGAAAACGAACTATAATTTCCATAACCTAATTTCATACATAGAATACAGGAATCACTTACCATCAGACGAGACGGGTGCTTGATTAAAAAATAAAGTATTGATGATATTTTTTCATTACTATTTCATGTATTTCTCATACATTCAAAGTGAATATAATTTACTATAAACCAATATTTACTATAAACATTGACATACGATTAAAAACGTGTAATAGGTATTATTAATACATACATACATACATATCTGTCACGCCTGTCTCCCATTAGGGTAGGCAGAAACAATGGAACGCCAAATGCTTCGATTCAAACAAACCTCTTTCGCTTCTTCCACATTCATCAATCTTGTCATACACGCTAGGCCGGTTACGGATATATTAATCTTATATATAAAAATCGCATGTCACGGTGTTTGTGAACGATCTCTTCTTAAACGGCTCGACCGATTCTTATGAAGTTTTTTATGTATATTTGATAAGTAAGAGAATAGCTCGTAAAGTATATAAAGTATACATACGTGATTAGGTGTCCATACTAAAAAAAAACTATAGTAGTAGAACAGTTAGACAAAAGAATACTAATATATATATATATATATATATATATATATATATATATATATATATATATATATATATATATATATATTTCGTCAGCAGATAATGATCTACCGAAACTACATAAAGTATTACGTAGGTATATATTACTTTTCACTTTACATAATAATGCAATTTTTTTAAAAAAAAATTTTTAAAAATACCGCACTTGAGCACGATTCTTTTTAAAATCAAAAAAATATAAAAACAAAAACTTTAAATTTCGACAATGAGGTCAGCATAATACAAAAGTATCAATTCAGGAATCAACAAGAAGAAAATTTAATATATAATACTTAGTCCTGATTTAAATTCATTATAAATATACCCTCTTATTCATAAAAACTTTAAACCTATTTTGCTATTGAACTGTTTTAATGAATGAATAAAAACTCTATTGTTCCTATCTCCTTCTCTCTTTTCGTCCTCTTCATTACTAAAGGTCGTGTCCTTGAAAGGTGTCTATTGTACCTATCAAAGAAAGATATTTATTATAAAGATTAAAAATATGCACTCAGAATGGCAAACAAGCTGACGGCCCACCTGATGGAAAGTGGTAACCATCGCCTATAGACATGAGCAGTACCATGGACATAACAGAGTATACTGTTTCGCCCATGATACCCCCCATGCGTTGACATTCCTAAGTACTCGAGTGCTATTCCTCTGTACCCTATAAATTCACGCCATATCCCACCCTTCAAACCGAAACACAACCATGCTAACACAACTGCTTCACGGTTGAAACACGAATGGGACAGAGGTGGCCAAGCAAATGACTTTTGTACAAAGTCTCCGTCTGGTACAATGAATACTTAATTACATGGAAACAAGATAAAGAGGTAAAAATGGGCGGCCTTTTAGCTAAATAATGATCTCTTCCAGGCAACCTGTTCTGTTTTTTTTTTTGCATTAAATTTAATGCAAATGAAAAAAAAACAGATCAGGTTTATTTTTTACTTTATAAAAGAAAGTAACAAAACATTTCAATATCTAAAATAGGTTTAGGAAGCTTTACTTTTTATGAATAACAGGGTTAGTATATACTGGTTCTTAGAATACTGATTCTGGTGTAGTAACAAATTGATTTTATTAAGTTTTACACATAGAACAACTTTAGAATCGATCCTAATATTTTTTTAAGTATTTCCCTTAAATTATATACATAGAGTGTCTCCACAGAAATGCTTCGAGAAAAACTAGTCAACTTTTTCATACAATTTTTCGTGATAAATAGTTACGAGTGATTCCTTTATAACTTATATATTTATTTTGTCTTATAATTTTTGCATCTTTTTAATGCGTTCAATTCTCAAAACTCAATTCAATTATTAAATAATACGTCAAAATACATTTTATACGTAAATATATAGATAAAAAAAAAAACAAGTCAGCTAATTTGACAAGACAAGACTAAAAGTTGAGCCGTTTTTTGAAGCTCGATACTCTATCTACATAATCTAAGATATTTGTGTTGAAGAATAAAAATATTTTATTCCTATAACGTTCTAGAATTCATCGTATAAATAGACACTATACTAAGTACACGACACGTCTCAAATTACAACACAAACGATCACAGTAGACAACAGTTCAAAGAACGCGGAGCACACTCAACAAAATGGCGGAAGACAACAAGATGGCGGCGGGCGAAAGCGCGGGAACTCCGCACGTTAGAACATCGTTCGGATACAGGTTCGGTGGTAACGCTTCCTCTCCAACTTTGCAGTATTCGCGGCGAGACTGTAAATTTTCAATTGCAAATATTAATATAATATAATAATAATAATAATTCATATTAATTAAATGACACATTTTTGTAACATGCAATTGCTGTTGTATCCGTTTGTATTATCGTTGTACTTTGTTAAGAGAGGGACTGACTGAAACCAGTACTGTACAGCAGCTGTACACATACACACTGCACTGGGACACTCGCAGCGTCAGCTGAGCCAGTTGATTTTGCCTAATACGAGACACTTCTTATATAGATGTAATATTTCTGTATTTTCTATTATAATTATGTGTTATTCTGGCAATTTCTATTCTATTCTATAAACAAAAAAAGATTTATTTGTAATAGATAAACTTAAAAAGTATATATATGTATATATATATATATATATATATATATATATATAATGAGTAGGGATATATATTTATATTATTAAGAAAAGAAACAATAAAGAGTATCTATCTATGTAAAAAAAAAACAGAAGCTCACAGCAAACTCTTCAGCGCACATCTCCTTGCAGGGCGGGCAGACCACGCCGCCCTTGTGCAGCCAGCCTTTCTTGATGATCCTCACTTGGAGTACTTGGCCGGCGTGGTAGCACGTGTACGTGTAATTACCAACCTGAATTTAACAAATTAAGAGCGTTCATAAAATAGTGTGGTAACGCCCTAATAATACTTTCGAGGTAGGGCTGCCATCACCTAAATTACCGACACTGGGGGGAAAGGGATTGTTAGTAATGGAGACTGAGAATCCTATTGCTAGCAATATACCCAACCAGGTCGACCCCCACGCCATTTCCCCTGGAAACTATCATGGTTAATTCCTGATGAATTCATCATGATGGGCTAACTGGCCTGTTTTCATTCTCATCTATCACCCTTCACTGGTGCTCCGCCAGCGTATCCCGTTAGCGCAGGCGAGGTTACCATACCATTTTCACCCATCAAAAAAAAGCACTGGGACTGGTAGTCCACAGTACTTAACCCCCCCCCCCCCAAACTGACTGTTTTATGGCCGGGTCGATAATTCATTCGTTTACCGCGTGCGCGTGGGGGAACCGCGTGGAGATCGACCTGGGTGGGTATATTGTTAGCAATAGGGCTGTTAGATTCCATTACAAATTCTTTCTTCTCAAAGTAGGGCTGCCATCCGTTTGGAATTCCACGGATTTGCCCTAGTTTTAAGGGCGTCCGGGAGCTGACCGGCAGGGTTTTTGAAAAGCCCATTCTATGCTGGGAATCATCGTTATTTCAGCCATTATACGTCCACTGCTGGACATAAGCCTCCCCCACAGACTGCTATAAAGAACGGTCCTGAGCCACCTGCATCCACTGACTCCCTGCAATACATTTCACGTCGCCACTCCATCTAGTGGGGGGTTAGCTACACAACGTTTACTTATACGGAGTCGCCACTCAAGAATCTTTCTTCCCCATCGGTTTTCGAGCTATGTGACCAGCCCATTGCCACTTCAGCTTGCTTACCCTTCGGGCTATGTCGGCTATTTTGCTTCTTTTGAGGATATCCTCGTTTCAGATTCTATCACGCAAAGAGACTCCGAGCATAGTCCTCTCCATAGCCCATTTTCTTACAGTGTACTTTTTTTTTTATATAACGTAGAATGGCAAACAAGCTGACGGTCCATCTGATGGAAAGTGGTAACCGTCGCCTATAGACATGAGCAGTACCATGGACATAACAGAGTATACTGTTTCGCCCATAATACCTCCCATGCGTTGCCCATTCCTGGGGACTCGGGTGTTATTCCTCTGTACCCTGTAAATTCACGCCATATCCCACCCTTCAAACCGAAACACAGCCATGCAAACACAACTGCTTCACGGTTGAAACACGAATGGGACAGTGGTATCTAAGGAATCGACTTTTGTACAAAGTCTCCCTCTGGTAAATACACGGCAACGGTACTGGGAATACACGGCAAATTTATCAAAAATTTATCCATTATACTGGTTAATAAATCAAACAAACTTACTATAATATGCAGTCGACCACTTTCACATTTGTATTTATAACATCCCGAACCCCAGTGTTGCCATTCTCTTATCTGAAATAAAAAAAAAATTATACAACTTAGAATGGCAAACAAGCTGACGGCCCACCTGATGGAAAGTGGTAACCGTCGCCTATAGACACGAGCAGTACCATGGACATAACAGAGTATACTTTTTCGCTCATGATACCCCCCATGCGTTACCATTCCTGAGGACTCAGATGTTATTCCTCTGTATCCAGTAAATTCACGCCATATACACGCCACCCTTCGAACCGAAACACAGCCATGCAAACACAACTGCTTCACGGTAGAAACACGAATGGGATAGAGGCACCCAAGCAATCGACTTTTGTACAAAGTCTCCCTCTGGTGAAATGTATATAAATGTAGATATCCGACCGGTATGGGTGATATGGCTTTTCGGTCATCAATGTCTAGAGGAACTCAATCATCATCGCCATCATCATCATATCAGCTATTATCCACTGATGAACATAAGCCTCCCTGCAATACATTTGAGATCGTCACTCTGTCTAATGGAGGGTCGTCCTACACTGGTACTACAAAGGTATTTACCTGTCTGCAAGATTTCTGCTCCCAAACTCTGTCGCTGTGGTCGAAGCACTTCGAGTGTTGCCCATAGTTCTCTAAAGCGAAGTTAACATCAGTCTCTGGAAATGGATGATATAGTTTTAATAGAATACTTGAATAATGGACCACACGGCTAGGTGCCGGCATAGAACAGACCATTCTCAGACTAAAAATTAAAAATTCAATTCAATTAAATTCTTCCATTAAAAAATAATCCGCGTATTTTCCGAAAATACCTATTCAATTTCCTAAAAAGTACTAGGAGATCATAACATTAAAGAAGGTGTATTACGTATAAATTAGTCTCTGGAAATGGACGATATAATGACGACGACAATTGAATTAGCCGTGTGGTTCCGGCATAGAACAGACTGTCCCTCCCCTTCCAAAAATACCTATTCAATTTTCAAACGTTCATAGGCTACGGTAACCGCTTACCATCAAGTGGGCCGTATGCTTGTTTGCCACCTCAGCGGTATAAAAAAAATCATGTATTTCATTTACCACAAAGTACTAGGCGACCAGAACATTGAAAGAGGTTAACATACAACAGTTTATCGTTTCCTGTCATTTGAGAAAAAAAAATCTAAACTCACTTGGTGGGGGGGGGGGGGAAAGGGATTGTTAGCAATGGAATTTGACAGCCCCATTGCTAGCAATATGCTTTATTAGGTCGACCTCCACGCGCTTCCCCCTGGAAACCATCGTGGACAATTCTTGTCGAATCCGTCACGATGGGCTAACTGACCTACTTCATCCTCACCTATCATCCTTCACTGGTGCCCCGCCGGTGTTTACCGATAGCGCGGGTGGGGTTACCATTCCATTATCATCCATTAAAAAAAAAAACTCACTTGGTGTATTCTCCTCGTAGACACATCTGCTGCCCCTCACGAGGACGCTCTTGTGTTTCCACGTGAACTCCTGGAGGTACGGGCAATAATCAGCCAGGGACACGGAGCCGCCGTAGTGGGCCTCGTCTCCTGGAGGCACGTTGGGCAGCACGTCGAAATGCTAAAACAATTTAATTAATAATCACTCTCCGAATTCATTTCGCGGTGCATTAATCCATCGATAGTCACGATATCACTACCACGTGCAGCTGCTCGTGTAAAAAGATTGGCAATATGCCTTGAACAATATTATTTTGACTTTTGACAGTCGAACAACGAGCAAACCTGCGAGCCAACATATTACCTAAGAGGTAGCCAGTCAGCGCCCTGCGTTCACGTTCAAAATCAGCGTTATCTTTCAAGTCATCGGTAACATAATATGTCCTAGATATTTAAACCGAGTCACTCTATTAAGAGGAACACAATTCAGAAGAATTGGCGGGATTTGTGGATTCTTACCACCTACTAACTACTAACACATAAATTCACTTTTTTGTGTATTATATTTTAGGCCATGTCTTTCAGCATACATTATAGATTGGTCCAATAAAAATTTTATCAAAATTAATACAGTAATTTAGTTGTTATATCAAAACAATTGTTTTTTGTCACAATTGAAATCAGTTGTTTTTGTAGAATACGATGTTTAATTTAAGAAGAGAGCTCACAAGTTCTACACCACTGACCTGATAAGCCCTCGGGAGTATGGTATCATGGCGCACCAGGTTGCACAGCACCACCGCCGTCCTCCGTGGGGAGCACTCCGTCCTCAGAGGGTTGCCTTTGATCCTCTCGCAAAATGGCGCTGGGTTTTTGCGTCTGCGAACATAAAAATAGTGTTCACTTATCACCTTTTTCCTACTTAATCATCATCATTACAGCCATTAATGTAATAATATAAAATAAATAAAAAAAAATAAAAAAAAAATATTATACGTCCACTACTGGACATAAGCCTCCCCCATAGACTGCCATAAAGAACGGTCCCGAGCCACCTGCATCCAGTAACTCCCTGCTAGGAATAACGGAGCCGCTGAAGACCAGGGGCCGTTTTTTTACAGTATTTACCATTGGAGGGGGGGGGGGGAGTACTGCCAGCAGTTGCCACGCTTGGCAGGCGTGTTGGCAACCGCAATTAGGTCTTTTCAGATATTTTAAGAAGGACACTACTGCCCATACCTTCGCCCTCCCTTAGTCGTCTTTTTTTATACAACTTAGAATGGCAAACAAGCTGACAGCCCACCTGATGGAAAGTGGTAACTGTCGGCTATAAACACGAGCAATACCATGGATATAACAGAGTATACTGTTTCGCCCATGATACCCCCCATTCATTGCCATTCCTGAGGACTCAGGTGTTATTCCTCTGTACCATGTAAATTCACGCCATATCCCACCCTTCAAACCGAAACACAGCCATGCAAACACAACTACTTCACGGTAGAAACACGAATGGGACAGAGGTACCAAAGCAAACGACTTTTGTACAAAGTCTCCCTCTTACGACACCCACGGGAAAGGAACCTGTGGCCCATTCTATGCCGGGACCGACACGGCGGTAAAATAAATAAACAATTTATATTTATTCTATTACATTACTTACTCTTCTGTCTCCGTTTCGTATTGGTTGCTTGTAAGTAAATTTTAAATTTAAAAAAATCATTTTTTAAGAAAATTGAATACTACATTATACAAGTGACTCGCCCCGACTACACACGGGTTTTTTTGACAATAATACAGCTCACGTTGGGCGCTAACAATGTAGCTTAATATATGAAAGAATTTTTAAAATCTCTTGTAAAAGTATTTAAAAAAAAAATATATGTGGGATGGAGAAAAGAAAAATTTTTCCAAAGAAAGAAAGAAATTATTCAAGTAAACTTAGATTCAAGCATTTTTTTAATAGTATTTTTTTTTCATTACCGCCTAATTCGAAACGCAATACCAGCCAAGAGGAACGGACAAGAAACGCAGCTGTTACTTTTTATGTTTTTTTTTTTATACAACTTAGAATGGCAAACAAGCTGACGACCCACCTGATGGAAAGCGGTAACCGTCGCCTATAGACCATGATAAGTACATAGATATTATGTATCATTTCATTTCATTTCATTTCAAAATATGTAATCCCTTATATATATATATATATATATATATATATATATATATATATATATATATATATATATATATAGCTTGTGATTTATTTTTATATCATATTTGTCTAAATGTCGTATGCAAACTCCTTTACATAATAAAAAAAAAAATTTTTAAATCCGATCCTAATTACAGCTAATTCCTAACTATTGTTAGGTTTATTATAGGTATAGGTATTGAAAGGTTGTCTGGAAGAGATTGCTTAGCGATAAAGCCGCCTTTTGTATCATTTCTCATTACAGTTAAATGTGTTTACTATTTTATAAATGGTTCAATAAAGTGTACATAAATTATTACATGAGTGCAGTATTAAATTGTCATTAGCAATAGATTTGTATTGAGATCCATGTTGGATTCCAGAGTTATCCTACTGTTTGTTTGTTTGTTTGTTTTTTATTTATTATTATAATTTAATTGCTTTCTATTTGTATACAATTATTATTTTCTTTTGTTTGTTTTGTTTTGATTCCTTTTGTTCTTGTTTTGTGCGCTACTGTGTGCGCCGCATGCTTCTTCGTTTAAATTATTCCTTTCTTTCTTTCTTTAAACTTTAATTATGCATTGTTTAAATTTGACTTCGAAATCGATTATCCGGATTTTCCATTATCCGGTATACCCCCGGTTTTATTTTAATTCGGATAATATAATATAATTTTAATTCCTGTCTTGCACTACTGCTGCCCACTCGCTACTTCCTATGCCACTGTGTTAGGTTGACTGGAAGAGATCTCTTTTAGAGATAAGTTCGCCTTTGCTAACATTGTTATTAACTTATTGTTGTTACTGTATGTTTTAGTGCAATAAAGAATTAATATATATATATATATATATATATATATATATATATATATATATATATATATATATATATATATATATATATATAATAGAAATACTGTATATTATTTTATAATTTTTTAAATAATCAATCAAGTACATTGAAAATTGTTTTTTTTTGTTTCTACGAACAATCAAATCACTCACTTCACAGTAGAATTATCCTCGGAGCTGCTTGTAAAAATAAATAATATAAATATAAATTAAAATCAAATATATAATCAAATAATGTAATAAATATATTTTTTTTTCTTTTTACCGCGAAGTTTCTCAGCTGGTTTTTGGTTACAACAAAATATCGGTGTTTTATATGTGCGAAGCGAAGTATACCTGGTTACGAGACAAAATTTATTTGATTGTGAGGCAAAAATTTTGTTTTGTAGTAAATTGTCCTGTTTACAAAGCAAAACGAACGTTTCAGGGGCAACAATTATGTATATGCATTTTTTGCAGAGCTAAACGTACGCGCATGCAGGACGAAACGTCTTATTTGCGGAGCAAAACGTACGTTTAGTGGGGGGATATGCCTGGAATGTGGAGCAAATCATTTTTGTTTCGGGGCAAAGTATCCCGTTTGCAGCGCACTTTTCAGGGGCAAAAAAACACATATACGCGGCGTTTTTAGCAGAGCAAAACGTACGCGCATGCAGGACGAACCGTCCTATTTGTGGGACAAATCGTACGTTTAGCTGGGCAGAAATCGGTCAACAGTACAAGGGTGTACCTCAACCTTTGTGCGTTGAGCCACTGCTTGCACGAGGCCATCGCGAACTGGCAGCCCAGCCCGCGGCCCCAGTCGAGCGGCGCGGCGTGCTCGTAGTCGGCGCGGTACCAGCCCGTGTCCTCCAGCATCGCGAACGTGATCCTGCTGAACACCGAGTTCTGCGTGTGCGTGCCGGTCATCGCCTCATTCTGTGTACACACGACATTTATTTATTTATTTATTTACACTTTATTGCACCAAGTAAAAAGAGAAATAACAAATACAATAAATATTAATGAGAAGTGATACAAAAGGCGGCCTTATCGCTGAGCAATCTCTTCCAGACGACCTTTTGGTAGAGGACATTGAGAAAAAGACAAAGGGTGGGTGGCGCACTAGTATATAAATATTATCATATACAAAAATATATATACATACATATATAATATATACACAATTAAATATATACATAACACACATACTTAACAGCACACATAGAACAGAAAAAAAATGACGAAAGAAAACGAAGAGAGAACACAGGAAAATAGTACTAAGGGGGCATCCATTGATTACGTGAGCTCAGAATAGGGGGGGAGGGGTCTAATGAATTCTCACCAAATCTCATTTAAACCGAGGGGGGGGGGGGATAATCAAAAATCTCACGTCAACTTCAAAAAATATAAAATATTAAAGATGTTACTAAAATATTAAAGATAAACGTAGACGTTTCCAGTGATTGTCTTCCTGCATTACTAGAAATCCCAGATGATATGTGTCCAACTATTTCGATTGAAAAAATACACGAGTCTCCATGGATTGAGTAAAAATTTAAAAGAAAGTTTTGTTTTTATGTTTTTACTTTAAATTTTATTTAATTTAAATAAATTAATTATAGTATACCTGAACGATTTATTATTTTCCCGAATAATAAATATAAATTAAGTTTAAAATATTTTTTGCGTCAATCTCACGTAAAGGGGGGGGGGGCAAATTCAAAGGGGGGGGGGGTCAAGGCAAATCTCACTAAATCTCACCTAAGGGGGGGGGAGTCTAAACTGATCGAAAAAGAGCTTACGTAATTAATGGATGCCCCCTAAAGTGAGAGGTAGTAAGATTTAACAGAGGTTTTGAAGCTAGTAAGAGTTTGAGCGCACCGAATAGAGGTAGGTAGTGAGTTCCATAGACGAACTGCCTGAACAGTAAAGGATTTAGAATAAAAGGAAGAAGAATGAGTGTATGGCTGTAGCTAACGGGAGGGGAGGGGGAGGGCATTGAAAGGCAATGCCCTACCTTGTGGGGAGAAGAGATTGTTAGTAATGAGGATTAGAAGCCCCATTGTTAGCAATACTATCCTGTCAGGTCGACCTTCTCGTGGTTCCCCCTGGAAATCATCGTGATGGATTTATTGTTGGATTCGTCACAGTAGGCCTAACTGACCTGCTTCATATTCACCTATCATCTACCATTAAAAAAATGCCCTACCTTGGGGGGAGAAGGGATTATTAAAAATGAGGATTAGTATCCCCATTGCTAGCAAAACTATCCTGTCAGGTCGACCTTCTCGTGGCATATACTACACAAGATGGGTCTATCTTCGGACACACTGTGCAGACTGTGCGGGGAGAAATCGGAATCCATGGCACACTTGATGTGCAACTGTGATTCGTTAACGAGCATGCGCCTGGGAACGGCTTATCCAAAGCCAGGGGACTACAGATGTCTTAAACCGCGGGATATCGTTAAGGTAACACAAAGGATCTATGAAGTGATGGTATAAGGCAGGGGGAAACACAAAAGATGCCGATGGGTCGACGTGCAACAGCTTAGCTGACCCCATATGCGAATTTAAAATAAGATAATTAACGAAATAGCGTGAATTTACAGGGTACAGAGGAATAACATCTGAGTCCTCAGGAATGGCAACGCATGGGGGGTATCATGGGCGAAACAGTATACTCTGTTATGTCCATGGTACTGCTCATGTGTATAGGCGACGGTTACCGCTTTCCATCAGGTGGGCCGTCAGCTTGTTTGCCATTCTAAGTTGTATAAAAAAAAATATTCATTTATTAATGTTGTTATTTCTCAATATATTTATTTAATTTACAAATTGTTTTGTTAAGTCTATACACCGCTATACTCTCTCTGTTTATCGTAACGGTCGACTGGTAGAGAACGCCATCAGGCATTAAGTCCGCCCTGTACACATATTGTAATGTCTGCAAAAGTAGAATAAATTTATAAATTTTCATTTCCACTAACCTCAAAGACCCTCTTCTCCCAGTGTGTCAGGGCGGTGCCGTCGCCACCTTGGTCCTCCAACTCTGCACCTTCCAGCTCGGAACAATTGAAATGGTCTCTAACCTGAAAAGATAGGGGGGAAAGGGATTGTTAGTAATGGAGACTGAGAATCCCATTGCTAACAATATACCCAACCAGGTCGACCTCCTCGCGGTCACCCCTGGAAACTAACATGGTTAATTCCTGATGAATTCATCATGGTGGGCTAACTGGCCTGTTTTCATTCTCATCTATCACCCTTCACTGGTGCTCCGCCAGCGTATCCCGTTAGCGCAGGCGGGGTTACCATACCATTTTCACCCATAAAAAAAAAGTCCATGGAGATGGGGTACTGGTGACTTGTAACACAGGATCCTCAAAACCTACTGCAGGCACCAGTTTATCAGAAATCTAAACTCATATATTTAATTATACCTCAAGTTGCTTTTTTTTACTACCTTTTGGGGTAAAAAAAGAAATTTCAACATACCTCTTTGACAACCCTGGGCGTGACGACCATGTGGAAGGTCCTGTCGATGTACCCGCCACGGATCATCCAGCGCTTACGTGTTACGTTCCTCACCACTCTGTCGGACCATTTGTGTATTTGTAGCCTGTGAATATAAAGTACACACTTAGATTGTGTAGCAGCAGTATTTCCGAACCGATACGACATCATAACCTTCAAGAAAAGAGCATATTCCTTTTTAAAAGGCCGGCAACACACCTGCAATGCCGCTGGTGTTGTGGGTGATCATGGGCGGAGGTAGTCACTTACCATCAGGTGAGCCGCATGAGGATCGGACCTTTAAAAACTCCAGCTTTTAAAAACAAATGGCGCACCTATTTCTTAGAAAAATCACTTTCCCTTTAAGCTTCTCCTGCTGGTTACTCTGTCTGAGTCATACTACATGTACATACAGGTACTACAGGTGTTTTATTTAATTGTTTTATATATATATATATATATATATATATATATATATATATATATATATATATATTAATAATACCTCTGTCCCATTCGTGTTTCTACCGTGAAGCAGTTGTGTTTGCATAACTGTGTTTCGGTTTGAAGGGTGGGATATGGCGGTGTGTTTATAGGGTACAGAGGAATAACACCTGAGTCCTCAGGAATGGCAACGCATGGGGGGTATCATGGGCGAAACAGTATACTCTGTTATGTCCATGGTACTGCTCATGTCTATATACCACTTTTCACCGGTGGACCGTCAGCTTGTTTGCCATTCTAAGTTGTAAAATAAAAAAAAAAAATAAGTATTTAGTGTATGTATGTATTTATTGAATGTGTATATTTATTTATTTAATATATTATATGTATGTTTATATTATATGAATATATCAAGTATTACTTTATATTTCCTCTATTCAATAATGCACCGCCTACTTATTTCTCTGTTCGCCCAACACTCGACTGGTAGAGAACGCAGTCCGGTGTTAAGTCCGCCAAATGTACATAGAATTTTACTGTGCGTTAAAGTTTAAATAAATAAATATATATAAACTTACTCCTCGTCCAACGGTGGGTTCCCCGTGTCCGGTCGTCGCGGAGTCAACGGTTCGCCATCATCGTCTCTGAAATCATCATGAACAGGAACCCTGAATACGATATTCCATGTGTCCAAGTTTCTACTACCAAAGTGTCGTAAGAGGCGACTTCTCTCTTTTCATTTAAGAGTTCCCTCTTGTCGGTGCAACTAATTCATGCATCTTCCTCCAGCCAGCTCTATCCCAGGCCATATCCTTTATCTCCCTATACGACATGACACATAGTGTTCCTTTTATCTGTCCCTTAAGAAGTAACTAAGCTAACTTAATAGTCGAGGAATGGCCAGCAACATAGCCCTATTGAAACGTTACCAAAAGCCAAACTGCGGTTGCCAACTCGCCTGCTAAACGTGGCAACTATTGGCTTAAACCCCCCAATAGTAAACTACCATACGGAATGACCTCCTTTATGCCTATTTTTAAGCAATAGACTATACTTTTAAAATTGGTAATTTTTTTTTTTTAATTATAAACAAAAGCTCAAGTTTTTCGTCTTAATAATATTAGTTTCAAAGGCAACTGACCTGTAAAATGCGAACAATGACACGCTGAACCCCAAAGCGTGTAACATTTCATGTTTGACAGTGGACAGCACGGACGGCAGGTCTCTGTACTTCGTTGACAGCTCACCAGGGCAGAAATTGGCGTGGCCGGCTACAGGTCTGAAAGGAAATTTAAACGGCTCCATCTCGTCCAGTCATAACCTAAATAGAATTAGTTACTAGCCGTTTCCCGCGGCGTTGCCCGCTTCTAACTATGTAGTTACCGTATATCATTCCCATTAGTTCATGAATCCAATCCTATATAGTATTAAATACTTAAATGATAATCACGTACCTAATACCTTCTTAAAGTTTCAGCCAATACAACTGATCGGTTGTTTTATAGCATTTTATATGTGACTCTTTAGATTGATGTAACTTTTTTATTTATGAAGCGATTGAAATAAAATAACCACTAAATGTTAAGTGGAGTAAACCGTAACGCATAGGGGAAACCACATTCAAATAAGTTTCTGAGATTAGCGTGCACAAATGTACAAATGTACAGACAAACAGACAAAAATTCTAAAAATCATTATTTTTGGTTCCATTGTGTTCATTTGTGTTCCGTTCCTTATGTGTCCGCAGACATTCCAGGGTGTGCCATTCGTGCCCATGAATGGCCCAACTGGTCCCCGTGTATATATGAGCTTATATGCCTATGGAATATATAAACTATAAACTTTATACCTGTCTAATGCTGACTCCTGTTGACAGTGGGACGCGTACGCGACCGTCAGGCCACGGCGACAGCGCTCCGTCTCCACAGCGCTCACGTAGAGGACGAAGTCCGTGTCCTCCACACCCTCAGGTTCCACCTCCTCCTCCTCGAACGCTGGTGGAACCACGATGGTAAAGATCAGAGATAATGCACAAGTATCATGTGAAATTTCATATAGTATTCTTTACATACTGTTTACTATATTATATATTTACCAGCTTTCGCCCGGGGGAAAAGGGATTGTTAGTAATGGAGATTGAGAATCCCATTGCTAGCAATATACCCAACCAGGTCGACCTCCTCGCGGTTCCTCCTGGAAACTATCATGGTTAATTCCTGATGAATTCATCATGATGGGAAAACTGGCCTGTTTTCATTCTCATCTATCACCCTTCACTGGTGCTCTGCCAGCGTATCCCGTTAGCGCAGGCGGGGTCACCATACCATTTTCATACAATAAAAAAAAACTAGCTTTCGCCCGCGGCTTCGCCCGCGTGGATCTTGGTTATCGCAATATGCAATTTTTGAAAATAACTCGATAGATTTATTTGGATAAGGATTAATACTGGAGTATGAAAATACCACCCAGACGGCGACCAGCTAACCACGCTATTCATTACAACCAAACAAACAAACAAACAAAGTTTATAATATTAGTGTAGATATAATGCAGTTCAGTAAACAGTATGTAAAGATTTTGGATGGTAAAAACAATGTATGAATAATAAAAATGTTGTTTTTATTGTGGTTTTAAAATTCTTTCAAAATTGGGCATGCAAAGAGCAAGGTCCATACAGCCTAGTCATGTGTCACAATTGGTCCTTCATAAATAAAGAGCAAATTATTTCATCTTTTTTTTTATACAACTTAGAATGGCAAACAAGCTGACGGCCCACCTGATGGAAAGTGGTAACTGTCGCCTATAGACATGAGCAGTACCATGAACATAACAGAGTATACTGTTTCGCCCATGATACCCCCCATGCGTTGCCATTCCTAAGGACTCAGATGTTATTCCTCTGTACCCAGTAAATTCACGCCATGTCCCACCCTTGAAACCGAAACACAGCCATTCAAACACAACCGCTTCACGGTTAAAACACGAATAGGACAGAGGTACCCAAGCAATCGACTTTTGTACAAAGCCTCCCTCTGGTAAATTTTTTTATAGAACTGCGTAGGAGTCGACATTAAGTGTATTTCTAGAGGTAGCACTATTACCTATTTATAAACCTATTTATCTATTTAATTTATAATTGAAAATATCAAAATATGAGTGCTGAGAATCGGAATAGAATTGGAGAATCGAGCAGAGAAATAGCCTGATAAGTGGGAGCGAACTGAGCAGTGCAGGTGCGAACCGGCGGCGCCGATAGTAGTCGACATGCACGCAATCGCATGCAGCGTTGGGGTACGTACAAAGAACAACGACTGACAGTTGTGGGACTGTCCATTTTATCGTCCAATAACAGATTATATTGTTACCAGAAAAGTGCATGCAAATTTCTGCAAAAACGTTTATGGTAGAACAAAATGTTTTGCAAACTTTCTTTATGCCATGCCTTACTTGAACATTTCTAAAATATTTTTACATAATTTTTCCTAACAAAGTTTACTTGGCTACTCTAATCGCTCAGTTGATATTTTGGTAACGTCAAACGAAATTGATTATACCTGATAAATGTTTACAGCATTTTTTAATTTACTTTTTTTTATTAAATTTGGCACCAATATCTACTCTTAGCATTGCATTTAAATGACCTGGAGCAAGAGCATTTTTTAATTACCCCCCCCCCCCCTTAACTATCAAATTGCACCCCTGCAACGTGGGCCCCATGTTGAAAAACACCGGTTTAGAAGCTATTTCTAAATCAGCTTGCAAGAATTAAACACTGCAAGTCGAATAAAAGCTTGCAAAAGAACAGAACAGAAGAACTTACAAGAAACTTGAGTGTCATTGCTCAAAGTGTTGTCATTGAGTTCGGTGCTGACATCTTCGTCAAACGACCTCGTTTTGAGCCGCGGCAACGCTCTACAGTTGTGCCCTGTGCTGTTGCAGACGTAACATGGCTGAAAAAAAGTAGTTTGATAAATAAATAGATAATTTTATTTGCATTACTTACAGCACACAAATTACAACATACATACACAAAAAAAAAGCGAGACAACATAAATGACAAAAAAAAATACACAAAACCAAATGCAACTTTCGTTTGTGAGTGTGCCATAGCAATACAAAATGGCCACAACTCAGTTTATTGCTTCGCCCTCAAAAGAGCAAAGCACTGATATTCTGTTGCGGCTAAAGGGAATAGGCTAACAATAAAATAATACTACCAGATTATCCGTACAATAAAAAAAAAAAGATTAATATACAGTAAACAGACAGATATGACAGTTCACTAGCAGACAAATGGGACATGGAGGTAACTTGCAGGAATGTCTAAGTTTTGCCTCTCAATTAAGAATTTTTAGAAATTAATTTTGAAGCTGGACTTAGTAGCGATCAGTCTTATGGGAGGTGGTATATTGTTTCAACATTTTGTGGCCTGATATCGGAAGCTACCATTAAAAGCTTTAAATTTATTTATTTATCATTAACTCTATTATTTAACGAGCTGTAACTACCAGCATCGGGGGGAAAGAGATTGTTAGTAATAGGATCTAATAGTTCCATTGTTAGCAATGTACCCCATCAGGTCGACCTCTGCGTGGTTCCCCCTGGAAACCATCGTGGTTAATTCTTACGGAATTCTTAACGATGGGCTAACTGACCTACTTTCATCCTCACCTATCGTCCGTAGATAGAGGATAGATAAGGACAGAGATGAAATTTGATCAGTAAATATAATGAATTGCTCACAATAATTACTAAACATTTGTTCTTTTTTCAAAACATCAAATTTTGTTCTAATTTTAAATTCTGATTTCGTTTTCAACAAATTCTTCATGAGTAAGTACATTTACATAATACCTATTGTGGATTGAAAGCATTTTCGACGTCATTTCCCCAACGACATTATAAATAATGGCGATTACAATAAATTCAAAGTGGATTTCAATAAAAAAAAACAATAAAACGTTGACCAAACTTACCCACAACTCCAACAATGCAGATATCGTGTACAATTTGTTAGTGAATTCGTGTTTATTTCAAAAACTCAACGGATAAAGAAAAGAAAAAATGGGATGGGATAACTTTTTGTTGTCACAGCCTTTGTACAAATTTTGATCGACTTAAAAAAAAATAAGCTTTCCAATTCGATAATATTTTTCGTATGTTCCGCTTCGCTAACTCTGAATCGACTTTGTTAGATAGATATAACACGCTTTACTGTACCTTTAAAAGATTATAATTGACAGTATTGCTTCCACTTACTTTAATTACAACACAATTACTTTTTTTATGTAGCAAATATTCACAAAATAAATAGCAGTTAATTTTTTTTATTCTGTCTTGTCCCAACAGGAAAGAAAGGCAAAGTGCTTTGTTCATACATCTCATGTCTGTGGTAAGGATCTTTTACAAATTATTAAATGTTCTTATAGACTTAAATATTTATATATTTCAGGCTTACATTTGCTGGCTGTGACGTATTTAGTTCAGTCATATATACTGTTAACTGCAAATATGGACGACATTAAAAGAATAGCAAAAACATTTATATCCGAGTCATTAATTGACCAAATCGCTGAATTTATCGCCAAGATCAGTACTGATGCCACAACAGTGGAAAAAGATAGAAATGACAATTTTCAACAAGTATCTAAAGAAACGACATATAAATATAATAAAAAGGGGAAAACAGGGAAACCTCATAAAGGATATGCAATCATATACGATAAAAGAATGAAAGCAAAGCAACCAGAATCCATGGATCATGACCATTCATCGTCAAACGAAAAAACTATCAAGTATTCAAATGTAAACAAACGAACTACAAAGCGACAATATTATGATACATCTAAAAGCGGTAATGCAAGAAATAAAATATATTCAAATACACATTTGGGCAATAGACAAATAAAGAAAAAACAAAAATATCATCAGTATAGTAAAAAAATTAAGGTACCACAAATTTATAAACGTCCTGGAGGGACGATAAAAGAAGAATATTTCGATAGACACCGAACAATAAGTAATAAAGCAAGACCATATCATTTACCATCAAATATTAAATCAACAGTAGGTTATGTAGAAAAATTAGGAACTGATAATAAACTAAATGGAAATCCAAGTGACTCTGAACTAGATAAGACCTATAAAATAGAATCGGTCGCTTCTCAAGAAATAAATAGAATGGAAGGAGATAAAATTATATTAAATTATAGTAGATCAATTGCAAATAAAGTTAATCGTTATATGGGATTTAATATAGAGAGAAGTCATAATGATTTAACAACGAAAAAAGTAACAAATGAATTTGACCAGTATGATAGTCCAATTTATTCGAAAGCGCATTTTATAGCCACCAGCGGGGCTGTAGCTTTAACAAAAATATCTAATCAGGAGCCATGGTGGGAGAAACTAATTACTAAGCAAGAAAATAAAAAAGATGACAGATCGGAATAAAATATTTTCTATATTTGTTTGTTGTTTAAATTCAAGTAAAATGAAAAAGTAATCAACTGACAAATTAACAAAAACTGCTGAAGTAAGAAAATAAATAGTACGAATAAGTTGGTTAGGAACTTTTATATTTTGACCGAGTTTAATATTAGAAAAGAAGGATATTTATTTTCGCCAATTTTCGAGCCATGTTTCTTCGGAAATACTGTTTTAATTGTAGGAAACTCTGAAAAGGACAAACAGTAACCTATGCCCTTCCCCATCCCAAATAATATGCGTATACCAAACTAAGACGATTGGTTGAGTCTTTAATGCATCAAGAGATAACAAACTAATAAGTCCTTATTTGCCAATAAATAAAAAATTACAAATGCTCTGCTAAAAACTATCTTTAGTCAAAAAATTATAGCCAGTTTCAAATAGGGATAAAGTGAGGATACTAACAATACTCTATATGTTCAAATTTGTAAAGACATTAAGAAGTTATACTCGTAATAGAATATAGATAACAGCGCGCGCACTCACACACTAAGCACGAACGCACGCACGCACGCAAGCACGCACACACCCACGCCCATGGTTAATAGATGAGATATTGAAAATGCTCACATTAAGATGATTCTCTGGCACCCTCACTTCCCCACACATAGTTTCGGCACTGCACGAATCTATACAGTGGGATCTGCCGCCACGCACAAACACCTGCCTCGTGGGACATTTTCTGGAAAAGAAATAAACATGTGATTTTAATTTTCATGACCAAGGATTTTTCTTACACCTACAAGAATAGCTAACAAGCTGACGGCCCACAATATAAAAAAGGTAACCGTTGCCTGTAGGCATTAACATCGTGGACATAACATAGTACACAGTGTCTCATATGATACCCTCCTTACGTTGTCATTCCTATGGACTATAGTGCTTTTTTTATTTTTCAAATGGGCGATAATGGAATGGTAATCCTGAGTTAAGGGACCGCTAGCGTAGCACCAGTGAGAGATGATAGGTAAGGATGAAAAGTCAGGCTAGTTACCTCGTCATGGAATACACATGGAATTCAGCACGATGGTTTCTAGGGGGGGCAACATGAAGGTCAATATGACAGGATATATTGCTAATAATGGGACTGGTAGTTCGCATTACCAGTAATCCCTCCCCCCCCCCCCTATGTACCTTCAGGCATACAACTGTGAAAACCGCATCCAATTTCATGTTACAATTCTGTAGAACTCATGACGGGCTAACTGGCCTGACTTCATCCTCACCTATCATATCATTCCCAGTTGGTAGCTCGCCAGTGTAAACCAAAAGCACATGCGAGGTTACCAGACCATTAATTTATAAATATTTACAAACACCACACCGGTTTCGCCGTTCAATACGTTTTCAAAGACTGAATTGATTGCACGAAAGCAAACAAGTGTGAAAAAAAAAACCTTTAAAAATCAGATCTACTCTGGAATCCAATATCAATCCAATCTATTGCCAATGACAATTTTATACTGCACTCATGAAATTAAGTTAGAAATTAAGTAAGAATCGATTTGGTTTAACAAGTTACACTAATATGCATTTATTAGAACAATATGGAACCATTATGTCGCTAGTGTTGCAATTTTTTTTATGCAACTTAGAAAGGCAAATAAGCTGACGGCCCACCTCTGTCCCGTTCGTGTTTCAACCATGAAGCAGTTGTGTTTGCATGGCTGTGTTTCGGTTTGAAGGGTGGGATATGGCAGTGAATTTACAGGGTACAAAGGAATAACACCAGAGTCCTCAAGTATGGCAATAGAGGGTATCATGGGCAAAATAGTATACTCTGTTATGTGCATGGTACTCTGCTCACGTCTATAGACAACGATTTTTTTTATTGGATGAAAATGGAATGGTAACCCCGCCTGCGCTAACGGGATACGCTGGCGGGGCACCAGTGAATGGTGATCGATGAGGATGAAAACAGACCAGTTATCCCATCATGATGAATTCATCTGGAATTAATCTTGATAGTTTCCAGGGGGAACCGCGAGGAGGTCGACCTGGTTGGGTATATTGCTAGCAATGGGATTCTTAGTCTTCATTACTAATAATCCCTTTTCCCCCTATAGGCGACGATTACCATTTTCCATAAGGTGAGCCGTCAGTTTGTATGCTGAAAAAAACAAGCTTTCTAAACTATAGTTTTCTGAAAACAATGTAAATGCAAAGATTCAAATAGGTACAAATGACTTTTGTTTTTTTATATACATATATATGTACTTATTAAAGATATATTTGATACGAATGATACCAATATTTGATAAGAGATACTCTTATCACTTTATGATTACTGTCCGCTGATAGGATGGTCGGCACGGCCATTTTCAACTTACACGATAAGAAGCAACATTGTTTTGAACAATATCGTGGTGTTTTAGTTAGTGAAGTGTTTGCAATACTTATAGATTAAGGTAAGTGGTGTATTTAACCTTCTTTCCTTTCCCGCGGGTGTCGTAACAGGCGACAAAAGGACCTTAGTCGCCTCTTACGATGCGGTTTTGCGTTTTAGTTAGTGAAGTGTTTGCAATACTTATAGATTAAGGTAAGTAGTGTATTTAACCTTCTTTGCTTTCCCGCGGGTGTCGTAACAGGCGACAAAAGGACCTTAGTCGCCTCTTACGATGTGGTTTTGCGTCTAAGTTAGTGAAGTGTTTGCAATACTTATAGATTAAGGTAAGTGGTGTATTTAACCTTCTTTCCTTTCCCGCGGGTGTCGTAAGAGGCGACTAAAGGACCTTAGTCGCCTCTTACGATGTGGTTTTGCGTCTAAGTTAGTGAAGTGTTTGCAATACTTATAGATTAAGGTAAGTGGTGTATTTAACCTTCTTTCCTTTCCCGCGGGTGTCGTAAGAGGCGACTAAAGGACCTTAGTCGCCTCTTACGTAGTTACGTTTAGTTAGTGAAGTGTTTGCAATACTTATAGATTAAGGTAAGTGGTGTATTAAACCTTCTTTGCTTTCCCGTGGGTGTTGTAAGAGGCGACTAGAGGATCCTAGTCGCCGCTTACGATGGGGTTTTAGAGATATTTTCTCCCACAAATGCTTAGGTTATGGAATGAGCTCTCTGTCAAGGTTTTTAAGAGACTACAGTATTGGATTCATTAAAACAAGAGTAAAGAGGTTTTTTCAAGGTCGGTTACGGTCACGTAATGCCTCTAGTAATGCAGGCGTTCATAGACTAGGGTAACCCCGCTTACCGTTAGATGGGCCGTATGTTTACCACCTCAGTTTATACCACTGAAACTGACTGAAATACTAATGGAACAGAGGTACCCAAGCAAACGACTTATATACAAAGTTTCCCTCTGGTAATCTCTATAGAATCTAAGATAAATTCTAACCGTTTCTAACGTGATGTAGTTGTGTTTGCATGGCTGTGTTTCGGTTTGAAGGGTGGGATATGGCAGTGAATTTACGGGGTACCGAGGAATAACACCTGAGTTCTCAGGGATGGCAACGCATGGGGGGTATCACGGCCGAAACAGTATACTCTGTTATGTCCATGGTACTGCTCATGTCAATAGGCGACGGTTACCACTTTCCATCAGGTGGGCCGTCAGCTTGTTTGCTAAGTCGCATAAAAAAAACTGGAAAATTATTTTTTTATCTGAAAGGATACACTTACAGATAATAGAAATGCATAGAAATTTTAACAAAATTGGTTCAATTATTAAACTGGTTTTGCGGTAATTAAAGTCGGTTTTTTATGGGATATAATCTTTATATTATTGATTTCAGCCAGCCTATTTCAAACCCATGTCAACTAACAACACTTGGAGCGGAAGCCCAGCTTACCAGGGTGCTTCATGGATCCCTCAGCCAGCGCCTTGGGAGTACATCCCCAAATGGCCAATTCCCATCACTCCTCAGCCCAGCCCAGCCACATCACCCACGAGAAGCGAGATCCACTTAGATTTGGCGGGGAATAGTGGCTCTTTACAGGTAATTAATATTACTTTCGCCCACAAAATCAACAAAAATAATAACTCCTCTATAGCATTACGATTGTTTACTTCCATGTGACGTCACTGACGCCATATTGCTCAAAAGTTGCGTTTTGTCAATCTATTTAAAGTATACCAATTTATTATTAATTTGCTATTTTTTAAAGAAATATTTGTACTAATTCAAAAGAATCACTTTTCGCGGGATCTATGAAATCGATCCCAGAGATCAGTCAAATAGCCTATTTTAAAAATATTAAAAAAATATATACATTTATATGCATACTACATAAATGTTAAATATGTAGTATGCATGTAATGTAAGAAAGACTCTGTTTTCCGCACTTAGCCTCTCATTTGGGCCGTTGTGCGTATGAGTCGTGGCTAGTACAGCCAACCTAGCTCCGCCCAGAAGCGCAGAAGCTTCCTGGGTTCTTCACAGGCCTCACGGAGCGACCTCACCGTTCCGAGGATTTCTAAACGTCGATGGGCCACAGCCTCACGTTCCAGGATTACGTGAGCAGCCGTTTCTTCGCATGTAGTATGCATATAAATGTATATATTTTTATTGTAAATAGTTGTATATAAATAGTTCATGGAAATCCATAAATCATGTTATAATCACATCATCGTCATAAAATACTAATATCTAATTATACAATTATATTATATATATATAAGGTCATGTGATCCCTGCATAGAATAGGCTACCTCTTCCTTTCCCGCGGGTGTCATAAGAGGCGACTAAGGGAGGGCGAAAGATGGGCAGCAGCGCTCTCTTAACCCTTCTTCGCATAATGGTAGAAATTTCCATCATAACATTGAATGCGCAAAAATTATATAAAAGAACAAATTCACATTAAGTTGATCGTGTCTGGATACCTTTTTAACGTCTATTGCAGAAAAAAAATATATAGCTGTCAAATTTATTTTTTTTACCTTGATTTATTTTACCAAAAAAAGATCATGCAAAGAAGGGTTAAAACATCAAAGCCCAACTACAGTTGCCAAACCGCTTGCCAATTATAGCAACAACTGGCAAACACCTAATGGGGAACCTATGTTCGACAGTGGACAGTTAACGCTGATGTAACAATTATAATAAAACAAAATAGGTAGGATGATGTACCATTTTTGATAACATTGTCCACAATAAACACGGATTAATAGCACAAATAAATATAACATTATACCCATAAATGGAATTATTGATAAGATTAGATACAAAACTCAGTTATGTTTTTTTTTTAAATATCTTCAGTGCTATTGTACCGTACTATCCAATCAACTGCATTAAAATGCCAAGATCGGAACTTTGTACTTCGGAATTGTAGAATTTATCTAATTGCTTGTTTTCGTTATGCAATTTGGAATGGGCAAAATTTTATGATGATATTGGAATGATGAACCAGGTCAGCTTTCATCCTCACCTATCATCCCTCACTGGTGCCCCGCCAGCGTAAATTGATAGCACAGGCAAGGTTACATTTTCACCTTGTAACTTTTACAGCTGTATCTGTCATTTTAGTATACAAAAGTAATATTTTTTGATGGGGGGGAGGGATGTTTAGTAATGCGGACTACCAGTTCCATTACTAGCAATATATCCTGTCAGGTCGACTTCCACGTCCTGGGGATGTGCTAATATACCGGCGCATCCCCCGAAAATAGGGTGAGCACGCCATCCACCCTATCTTGAGAGAGGAGACCTGCTCTTACCAGCAGGGGGCGGGTCGCTGCCGTCGGAGATGTGGTGAGTGCGAAAGCGAACCCATGTCTCCGACATATGGCACCTCGAGGGTATATCGTCTGGTTTTTGGTGGGTACACCCCCACCTTACGGGGGGATTCCCACAATACCCATTCACCTGCATAAAGCATTTTCCAGACGTTAAAAAAAAGGCCGACTTCCACGTGATCCTCCCTGGAAACCATCGTACTGAATCCCAGGTTTATTCATCACGATGGGCTAACTGATCTAACTTTCATTCTCACCTATCATCCCTCGCTGGTGCCTTGCCAGCGTATACCGTTAGCGCGGACGGGGTTACCATTCCATTATCAGCCGTTAAAAAAATGTTTGAGAAAACCAATTTATTTCTATTGATACATTGAGACTTACCCAATGTATCAATCATAGTGATTATCACTTGACAATCATTGTTAGATTTATAAATGTTTACGTATCAAAGTGGATTAATGGATAAGTAAGAAATATCCGCCATGTGGTCCCAGCATAGAATAGCCTACCGCTTCCTTTCCCATGGGTATTGTCAGAGACGACTAAGGGAACTTTACAGTCGAGGGATGGACAGTAGCGTCCCTTTTAAACCATCATCAAAGCCTGACTGCGGTTGCTGACCTGCCTGCCAAGCATGGCAACTACTGGAAAAACCCCCAAGGGAGAGCCCTATGTTCAATAGTGGACAGTTAACGACTGATACCAAAATCATTATGCCAATAAAATACTTCATTTAAGGCACGCTACGAGAACACAAAGGACCAAGAAACCCTGACAGAACAGAGCCAGTCGGAAGACGAGGAACACCCTGTACTGTACATAGATCTACCAGAACCCGGCAACAGCGATGTGACTCAGAGGATCGGGCAACAAACATCAGCGTCATCTCGCCCCGTTCGGGTAAAGAATGAATTTTATCTTTTTATATTTTAACAGATATACCCACTCGACGGATTTTAACGAAACTTGGTACAATTATTCTTCATACTCCTGGGCAGGTTATAGTAGGTAGGTAGGTAGTAGTACTTTTCATCCCGCTACGATCAATAGGAGCAGAGCAGTGAAGGGAAATGTTGGGAAAACGGGAGAAGTTACTCCATTTTTAAGCTTTCGTAGCGTGTGCAGCCTTAATGGCTACTTTTAAAAATGTAAAAATGTCCACCCGTGCGACGCCGGGACGGACCGCTAGAAAATAAATAAAAATTTAACGAAATACATATTATAGCAGTTTCAGCATAGAATGTGTGTATATGTAACATAATTATAAATAAATAAATGGATTTCAAAATTTTGTTTCACTCTAGAAACTAAAATCTTTCATGACCAGAGGGTGACACTTTACATGAGTAATTTAGAACGTAAAATTGTGCCTCTTCAAGTCAAGACTTGTTTGAACTGTTAATGTATTTCTTCAGCCAACTGATCTGCCCATAAGACCACGTGGAAACAAGGTGGACTTGGATGAAAACCCAGTAGTTTACATCGACCTTCCAGAGACGAGCAACAGCGACGTCTGTGAGCCAAGGCGTGCCGAGACTGAAGAAAATCCTCCGTTCATTCAGGTTCATTTCAACAATTTTTTAACTTTTTTTTATACAACTTAGAATGGCAAACAAGCTAAGGGCCCACCTGATGGAAACTGGTAACCGTCGCCTATAGACATGAGCAGTACCGTGGACATAACAGAGTATACTGTTTCGCCCATGATACCCCCCATGCGTTGCCATTCCTGAGGACTCAAGTGTTATTCCTCTGTACCCAGTAAATTCACGCCATATCACATCCTTTGAACCGAAACATAGCCATGCAAACACGACTGCTTCACGGTTGAAACACGAATAGGATAGAGGTACCCAAGCAATCGACTTTTGTACAAGGAAAGTTTGAGAAAGTTTTTAATTTGCTAAGTATGTTAGTTTATTAAACGACTTCTTAAAAAATAAGAGTTCTGAAAACGTTGTTTTCAATTTGTTTTTAATATTTGTTACCTCAAAACTCCGTCATTTATAAACCGATTTGGAAAATTCTTTTATTATCTGAAAGGGCATACTTTCAAATTAGACCCGTAGAAATTTTATAAAAATCAATTCAATAATTTTCTTTTAAAATCAAATTAACTGATTTTGCCGTATTTGAAATAATTATTTCTGTGAAAAAAAAATTTTTGTCATTTGATTATATGGAATTATTTCGTTTAATTCCGCTACCATTAGTATACTTGCAACTGCCAACACTCCAAGATTAATTACTACTATTATTACCAGAATTTCTGATAGATATGGAAGGTTGTACCTTCCATATCTATCAGCAATCTCCGACTGCCATTTTGTTCACGCATATTTTGCGACGTGTTCTCTAAACGAGGCAACTTCAGGCAAATTAACAGACTGCTTAGAGTCTAGTGTTAACCGTACGACACTCAAACTACGAAACCCGAACTTAACTAGTGGTTAAATTAGAACCACTTCTTTCAACTATAATATTGCCCACCACCTGATGGTAAGCAGTTACCGTAGCCTATATACGCCTACAATACCAGGGGCATTACGCGCGACCTTGAAGGAACCTCTTTCTTCAAGGCAAGCAACACATGCGTAATTCTCATTCCATAATCTGATCATTCGTGAGAGGAAACATCTCTGAAACCCCGGTGTACGCGACCATCCAGCCTCTAAAGTATGGGACTTAACTCTCTATCGATAGCGAGCTATACGGTGATAGAAAAAAGCCGAACATCATGTTGAACAATTCTTCTGAAAACAGTCCGTTGTACAAGTACTTCTATTATTACAGGATACAATATTTTATGATCAATTCAAGGACAGAAGGATACAAATGCCGAATACACCCATAGACCAGAACAATGCCAGCACGTTTAGCAGCTTATCCTCCGGGGAATCTCTACCTTCGCAGAGACTGTTAAGTCTACAGAATAATTTAAATTCACCATCACCAGAATATGCAGGTAATGGTAACGACTAATTTATTTAAGCAGTACGTTGTATTTTTATTTACTAGGGTGGCAAAAAACGTGCTACCTGATGGTAAACTGTTACTGTAATTAATGAATGCCTGCAATAACAGAGACATTACTTGTGCATGCCAGCCTTGAAGAAACATCTTGACCCGTTCTCTGAAGTACCTCATGCTCTCTTGAGAAAACCTTGACAGAAAGCTGGTTCCTGAACCTAAACAGGCGAGGAGAACGCCTCTAAAGCTGTACGCGACTATCCAGGTTCTAAGGTGTAGAGGAGAATTCTGTCGTTAGCGAACAGGGCGGTGGTAGAAGATAGAATGGTGGGCAAAAGAATAAATTTAGATATTCGACTAGTATGGGCGATGTCGAAATGGGTGATAACTTTTTTTCCACTATCAATGTCCTGATGGCACTGATATTACGGGAGAGTGGGGTATTGGAGCAGTCAGGTAATAAGAGAGATAGCGCTTGGATGGTATCCTATGCATTCTCGTGCGCTCTTCGGTACTTTTACGTATTTATCAATGTGGAATAACGTACCTAACATTCCTAATAAAAGCGTTGAACCATTTATTCGACCTCCCCCCCCCCCCATCATAAATACGTTTAAAAAAAAAACAATGGTCGGCCTTATCGTTAAAACTACCTCACCCAGATTACATTATAAAGATATTAATTGTATTTTTAGGCAACACTGCAACATCACAGAGTCTACCATCGCCCACTGAGTTTGGATCCATCAGTGGTCACCAGGTCACCCCTGACGAGCACCGGTTCCCGCCGCATCAACAGATACCCTACCCAGATCCCCCGCCCCCTTATTCCCCTGTAAACTCCCAAGTAGTGACGCAGCCACCAATGACTACACCAACAATGACTGGAATGCAAGAACATTCCCGGACTATTTTCATCACCGAAGGTAAGCTGAATTTATCATCATTCATCATCTTACATCTACCAGAGGGACCTGTTCCATTCTGTTTCTACAATGTACAAAGTAGTTGTGTTTGCATGGCTGGCATAGCATGGCAAACTGAAACACCAGTTTGAAGCGAAGGGATATGGCAGTGAAATTCTTGAGGGCTATCATAGTATGCCCTTGTAATTTTTTGCCATTTCAGGTATGCCACAGAACTTGAGAACGCAAGCTCCAATAAGCAGGAAGTACATGTTCTGCCATCACTGCAGATTCAACATCAACAGTCTGGTGATACATGAAACAGGATGTATGACACATATATGGGCTATCATCTTGATGACGTTTGGGTAAGCTACAAGTTTCTTTGTAGTTTTTTTTATGCAACTTAGAATGGCAAACATAAAGCCTCTTCCAATTGGAAGGGGGGGGGGGATGCCATTAATTACTACGTTTGATAAGGTACAAGGTTAATCACAATTAGGTTTTGGTGATGTTTTACGCTGTCGCCCATCCCTCGACTATTAAATAAAAAAAAATTACTTGTTTTCCTTTCCAATATATATATATATATATATATATATATATATATATATATATATATATATATATATATATATATATATATATATATATATATATATATATATATATATATTTTATTTTCAGATTGTTCCCGTTCGTTATTCTGATATATTGGGCCAACTGGTGCAAGTACAAGAACCACTACTGTCCGCACTGCCACAAGAAGATAGCATACGTCAGACCTTGTGGATGTGAACGGATCACTGTGATTAAATAAACATTCTTTAATACATACTGATGTTTTATTTTTTTATTTTTCTTTTACTTTTCGTTACCAAAACGTTGTATAAACAAAGCAAGTATTTTTTGCTGCCAAAACGAACATAATATAGCGTAATAACATATTCGTTATCGAACCAGTATATAGATATGAACATTAAACAAACATCTATACACAATAAGAGCCACAGACAGCCCTCTATGTCGAGGCTGTTTCGACGCCGAACAAACGGCTGCTCACGTAATCCTGGAATGTGAGGCTGTGGCCCATCAACGTTTAGAAATCCTCGGAACGGTGATGTCGCTCCGTGAGGCCTGTGAAGATCCCAGGAAGCTTCTGCGCTTCTGGGCGGAGCTAGGTTGGCTGTACTAGCTACGACTCATACGCACAACGGCCCAAATATGAGCCTAAACGCGGAAAATAGAGTCTTTTTCACTTTCACATTTACATTCAGATTTAGACATGAGCAGTACCATGGACATAACAGAGTATACTGTTTCGCCCATGATACCCCCCATGCGTTGCCATTCCTGAGGACTCGGGTGTTATTCCTCTGTACCCTGCAAATTCACTGCCATATCCTACCCTTCAAATGGGGGGGGATTATTATTAATTAATGGGTTTTACCTGCCACATTGCTAACAATACACCCTATCAGGTTGACCTTCACACGGTTCACCCTCGTAGGAAACCATCGTGGTTAATTCTAGTGGAGTTCATCATGATGAGCTAACTGACCTGTTTTCATCCCTCACTGGTACTCCGCCAGCTTGTATCAATAGCGCAGGCGGGGTTACCATTCCACTATCACCTATCAAAAGAACCCTAAAAACCGAAACAGCAATGTAAACAGCTGCTTCACGATTGACACACGAATGGGACAGAGGTGCCCAAGCAAACGACTTTTGTACAAAGCCTCTCTCTGGCAAAATAATACTGGTTACTTTCAATATTTATATGCAGTTACAAATTAAAGTAAAGCAAAATTAGTTGCAATATTGCACTCCAGTAAAGACGTCTTACCTTGTTTGATAATAAAAAATTAACCTTAACAAATACATCTTAGAAATTAGATTAAGTATGTATTGAAATATCAACTCACCTATTCAACCTTATAGGACCTCCTGTCTTCCTAACCTTCAAGGCTTGCTCCCAAAACTTGACGGCATCAGGCAGTATTGTGTTCTGTGACAATCCAAATAATGTATGATTTATTTATTTAAAGGAACACCAACAGCATATTGCATTATAACACACTCACATATGGGGGGAAAGGGATTGTTAGTAATGGAGACTGATAATCCCATTGCTAGCAATATACCCAACCAGGTCGACCTCCACGCGGTTCCCCCTGGAAACTATCATGGTTAATTCCTGATGAATTCATCATGACGGGCTAACTGGCCTGTTTTCATTCTCATCTATCACCCTTCACTGGTGCTCCGCCAGCGTATCCCGTCAGCGCAGGCGGGTTTGCCATACCATTTTCACCCATCAAAAAAAAACACACACACACACATATAACAATCATTAAATATAGTACAATATTAATGCACACGCCTATTGAAGGTATTCACAGCATTCACTTTAACATAATTATACAGTCTGAAATGAAATGAACAATTTTGAAGAATTAAATAATACTAGATTACAAATATTTTAAAAGTTGCTTTATTATGTTATGGGTTAACAAACAATAATTATCCCCTTCCTTTCCCATGGGTGTCGTAGGAAGCGACTAAGGTAACTTAATAGACGAAGGATAGGCAGCAGCGTCCTTTTTAAAACATTATCAAAGACTAACCGCAGTTGCAAAGTCGCCAAGTGTGGTAACTACTGGCAAAGTCTCCCTTATGGGGAGGGCCTATGTTAAGCAGTGGGCAGTTAACAGCTGATATGATGGTTTACTTGTGCTCTCCCATTCTTAGAAAACCCTCAATAAAACCTCTCGTTTAGCAACTTTCGAACGCAACATTTTTTTTTTTTGGAAAAGAAGTAATTATTATAAAATAATTACTTTTGTTATTTCATCATCGTCTTCCTACCCTTATCCCAATTATTATTTGGGGTCGGCGTAATATGTTTTTCTCTTCCATTCTTCTCCAGACGCAGTCATTTCCGCATTCACTCCCATTCTGACCATATCATTTTATTAATTAATAAATTCTCTACCTACCGACTTGCGAAACAATATCACTGTCAAAAACATAAAGTTTAAACTGAGAGCTTATTTACTGTCTCACCTTGCTAAAACAGCAAAATACTAATGTAAATATTGACATTTGAGAACCGAATGTAAAGTATCACACACAAGCCCAAGAGGTTTAAGTGGTACTAAAAATCCAGTTTTTTTTTTAATGTATTTATGCATGCTAATTAAATTAAAAAAAAAAAAATTGTACGTGAAAATAAGAGAGATGTAAACTCACATTTATCATATCAAACTTCTCTGGTTCTAACCTGGAATAAAATTAAAAAAAAAATATTATTTTACTTAAAACTAACTATCAGGGGTGGCCGACTTGACTAGACCCAAGATGTACTGTTTACTGACGAAACCCTGTACGATCTACCAATTATTTTCTTTTTTTTTTATACAACTTAGAATGGCAAACAAGCTGACGGCCCACCTGATGGAAAGTGGTAACCGTCGCCTATAGACATGAGCAGTACAATGAACATAACAGAGTACACTGTTTCGCTCATGATATCCCCCATGCGTTGCCATTCTTGAGGACTCAGGTGTTATTCCTCTGTATTCAGTAAATTCACGCCATATTCCACCCTTCAAACCGAAACACAGCCATGCAAACACAACTGCTTCGCGGTTGAAACACGAATGGGACAGGTAGCCAAGCAATCGACTTTTGTACAAAGTCTCCTTCTTGAAATCGCAAATAAAACAACATAGTTCAGGACACAATTATGTAATATTGTAGTATTTTTTATTTCATTAAAAGGGAAAAACATAAAACTGAAATTTGTTCTTAGTAACTACTTATTTATATTAGTGTGAGCATTGCGTCTGCGCATCTTCCGCTAGATTAGCAAAATAACATATTACATTTTTTTACTTTCCACAAGCGACCGGTCGATCGCGACCGACTCCCAATCTATATAAATAAAAATTCAATCGCTAATGTGTTGCCAAGTGCAATAATTGACAACGGCTGAATCAATCACGGCTCGCCATCGACAGGGAGTTCACCCTCATACCTTACAGCCTAAATGGTCGCGTACAACGCGGTTTCAGAGATGCTTTCTCCCACGAACACTCAGGTTATGGAATGAGCTTCCTGCCGAGGGGACTACAGCATGTGGTTCTTCAAAAGGGGGGTAAAGAGGTTACTTCAGGGTCGGCAACGGGCGCGTAATACCTCTGGTATTGCAGGCGTTCATAGGCTACGGTAACCGCTTACCATAAGGTAGGCCGTATGCTTGTTTGCCACCTCAGTGGTATAAAAAAAATTAGGCTATTTGTTCTCTTTAAATATTTGTTAATGATCAAGGAAGGTTCTAATCGAGAGATAAGACAGTCGGTACAACTTCAAGATAAAGGTGCAATATTATTATTATATTATTCATTTGTACGAAGCATTTTAGAATTCAATTCAATTATTTGGAACCCTCATGAAACAAAATACAAGATAATGATAGAAAGAGTTCAGAGGAAATTTGCACGTGTTCTATATAGTAAACTTTACGGCTACTATCCTTATTTGTACCCATCACTGTTCGTATCCGGTATGGTAGGTCTAGACACGCTCGAGGTAAGGCGAAAGTGCAATTTGATGATGCACTATTATCAGTTGCTCAACGGCGGAATAGACAATCCTGCAACTCTTAGCCGTTGTTCTTTGTACGCACCACAACGCTGCATGCGATTGCGTGCTTGTAGACTACTATCGGCACCGCCGGTTCGTACCTGTACTGCTCAGTTTGCTCCCACGTATCAGGCTATTTCTCTGCTCAATTCTCTGATTGCTCAGCAGCCAGATATTGACATATTTAATTACAAAAGGAGTATATTTTTAAAATGTTGTACAAAATTTGTAAGTTTGTGAAATAAAACTTTGGCTCACTACACTTTTTGGGAAACTGTAAGTGTAGTGAAAAATTTTCAAATAAATAAATAAATAAATAAATAAGGATGGAAAATTATCCAGAAATCTCACACTTTCAAAAATTCATACATTATCTACTGGGCATGATTAAATAAATTTGATTGAAAAAATTCGTCACGATGGGCTAACTGGCCTGCTTTCACCCTCGCCTATCACCCCTCACTGGTGCACCGCCAGCGTATACCGATAGCGCAGGCGGGGTAACCATTCCATTATCATCCATTAAAAAAAAATTGATTGAAACTAAAATATAATTTATTGAAATTAATTTCACAATAATAATAAATCTTTCATTGAATAATCTTTGATGAACTATGCAAATTGAGATTTCTAATCTTATTAATATGAATTGTCGATGTCTGTGTATGGGAGCCATTTAAGAAAAAAATATATAAGAACAATAGAGAATAAAAGAAGGAATTTTTAGAAACTATGTCTATTGAAAGAGAATACATTTATTTATCAAATTTGAACGAAGGTCGTTTGCTTGGGCACCTCTGTCCCATTCAACCAGTGTTTCAACCGTTAAACAGCTGTGTCTGCATAGCTGTATTTCGTATGTTGTAATCACTTACATATTAAGTAGTTAAAAAAATTATTATATATGTAAATTCTAACCACTGAATTCAATATTTGAATGTCGTTTGATGTGGCGAAACATAATAGACATCTTGTAAACTTGACAAATGCAACATCTTATTTACAATGTTTCTGGCAAGTTTTGTAAAAAATACTGTGTTACAACCGTGAAGCAGTTGTGTTTGCATGGCTGTGTTTCGGTTTGAAGGGTGGGATATGGCGTCAATTTACAGGGTACGGAGGAATAAATTAAATATTGATCTTATTCATACTGTATTAGGTGAACACAAATCAGAAACTTTCGAACTTCGTTGTCAGTTATTGATACCCACTGTTAAATATCCCACTGTTATTATGTCCATTGTATACATACAAACATGTTTTCATCTATATATATATATATATATATATATATATATATATATATATATATATATATATATATATATATATATATATAGTATATAGTAGATAAAACTGATTAATCAGTTCAGGGTACGATAAGGCTGATATGTACTGATAAGTACCTGAAGTAGGTAAAAGCCCTTAAATAAAAAAAAAACCTGGATATCTCACCTATAGACTGAATGGTCGTAAACTATACTTATTCTAAGTGGTTGGTCTATACTTCGTTTCTTCACTATGTGAGCTGGCTCTATGTGAACCCCGCGGATTACCTGCAAAAAAAATACAAATATAACGTTAGTATAAACAAGTAGGTACAATAAATATCATACATTCATTAAACTGTGTTTCGGTTTGAAGGGTGGGATATGGCGTGAATTTACAGGGTACAGAGGAATAACACCTGAGTCGTCAGGAATGGCAACGCATGGGGGGTATCGTGGGCGAAACAGTATACTCTGTTATGTCCATGATACTGCTCATGTCTATAGGCGACGGTTACCAGTTTCCATCTGGTGGGCCGTCAGCTTGTTTGCCATTCTAAGTCGTATAAAAAAAAATTGTCAAATGGTTCCCGGCATAGAATAGGCCTTCCCTTCCTATCCCATAAGATCCCGTAAGAAGCGACTAAGCGAACCTAACGGAAGCCCTATATTTAGGGGAGAAAGAGATTGTTAGCAATGGAGTTTGACAGCCCCATTGCTTGCAATATGCCCCATTAGGTCGACCTCCACGTGGCTCCCCCTGGAAACCGTCGTGAACAATTCTTGTTGAATTCGTCACGATCTTCTAACTGACTTACTTCATCCTCAACATGATACCCCCCATGCGTTGCCATTCCTGAGGACTCAGATTTTATTCCTCTGTACCCTGTAAATTCACGCCATATCTCACCCTTCAAACCGAAACACAGCCATGCAAACATAACTGCTTCACGGTAGAAACACGAATGGGACAGAGGTAGCTAAGCAATCGACTTTTGTACAAAGTCTCCCTATAGTAGACGGTAAGGGAAATCAAACTTTCACATATATAATACTAGCCAGAATTCATGCGAGCAACGCCGCAAGATAGAGTTAGTATAAAATAGTACTGTAATAATGATGTTTTTGCGTTATTTTCGCCAACAAGACACTGACGTCATGGCTGTACATATTATTTGTATTTCAAACATACGTCGTTTACATTTCAATACATTTTTATTATAAAGCAAATGGCCAATTAGCATTATAATCCAGAGAAGAGATGGCCCAATAGCATACAGTGGAGTCGATTCTCAGTCTAAAGACCTGTCTCTAAAAATAATGTTTTAATTTGACATCACAGCGAAGTCTTCATTTCAAAAACCAAAATGAATTAATTTCTAATTTTTTTTATCACAGGGGGCAAACGAGTAAACGGCTCACCTGATGAAATTAAATTAATTTTTTCTTATGCAACTTAGAATGACAAACTGACGGCCCACCTGATAGAAAGTGGTAACCGTCGCCTAAAGACATGAGCAGTACCATGCACATAACAGAGTATACTGTTTCACCCATGATACCTCCCATGCGTTGCCATTCCTGAGGACTCAGGTGTTATTCCTCCGTACCCTGTAAATTCACGCCATATCCCACCCTTCAAACTGAAACACAGCCATGCAAACACAACTGCTTCACGGTTGAAACACAGTATTTTTACAAAACTTGCCAGAAACATTATAAATAAGATGTTGCATTTGTCAAGTTTACAAGATGTCTATTATGTTTCGCCACATCAAACGACATTCAAATATTAACCACTGAATTTACATATATTTATTTAGATAGATAGATATATCGTTTATTTGTTTGTTACTAATCACACACAACATGTTCATAAGAATAGATAATACATAATACAACATAAGATTTATAAAATTGTGTTATTACGTGTGATCTGCAGCAATACAAAAAGGTCGAAGCTCAGCGCGGAACATTGTTCAAGGAACAATTTAACTTTTTTTATCTACTTTATGCTAAATGACTATCGCCGCCCATGATCACCCACAACACCTACGGCATTGCAGGTGTGCTGCCGGGATTTTAAAAAGGAATATGTTTTTTTTTAGGTTAGGTTATCAAGTAGATAGTCTGATGATGGTAATCAGAAATGAACGATAATCATAAGATGATGTCGTATGGTACTATTGGACGTTTTTCAATATTTCTAATTGATTATTTAAAAAATACATTGGAAACATGGATAATCATTCAATTGTCATTAAAAATTAACTGATAAGTCCAATGTTGCCAAACTTTGGTAAGTGTTCGTAAACAATCTGTGTACATGATAGAATTTAAAACGATAGGAAATGGAGAAATTTGAAAAAAAAAAGACGAAGAATTAGAATTTTAAATTAATTGATCAGAGATTTAAATTCGTTGAATTAACAAATACATCCGCAAACTACGTCTTCAACCGTGACAGGATTACATTAACTGCCTAGTAATTATACTAGTTTCAGATTCATTATAGAGGGGGGGGGGGGGGATTTGTATCCTTATTTAAGCAATAAATAAGATTTGCATGCCTACAATTTTAAGGCAATTAAACAGATGCCAAAATGTTTTGTCACATGGCCCTTATAATGTCAAATGTTTGTTTAAAGCAAATAAATATTTCATTTCATTTCAAGGATTGTTAGTAATGCGAACTACCAGTCCCATTGCTAGCAATACACCCTGCCAGGTCAATGTCCACGTGGTCCCCCCAGGAAAACCATCATGCTAAATTCCAGGTGTATTCATCACGATGGGCTAACTAACCTGCCTTTTCATTCTCACCTATCATCCCTCACTTGTGCCCTGCCAGTATATACCGATAGCGCAGACGGGGTTACCATTCCATTATCAACCATTAAAAAAAAATCTCTGCATAAGAACATTATATCAACTCTATATTATGTACATGAATGCATTATAATAAATAAATAAATAAATAAATATTTATAGTATTATACTATAATATTTATTTACAGTTTGCGAACATGTTTAAATGTATGTTACTCAATCACACTGTAACGGCGCCCAATAACAATAAAACTTTACCGTCGGTCTAATAAAAACGGTTTAGCGTTATGAACGTATATTTCTATTTTTTGTTCAACTCTGTTATAATATTGTGTAAGTAATTATTATTATTGTATTGTTAAAGTAACCCGAGGTTTTCCCAAGAGACTACAGCGTGGGGTTCTACAAAAGGGGGGTAAAGAGGTTTCTTCAGGGTCGGCAACGCGCGCGTAATACCTCTGGTATTGCAGGCGTTCATAGGCTACGGTAACCATTTACCATCAGGTGGACCGTATGCTTGTTTGCCACCTCAGTGGTATAAAAAAAACCCTTCCTTTCCAATGGGTGTCGTAAGGGCGACTAGGAAAGTCTAATGGTAACGTTCTCTTAAAACATCTTCACCCACCTGATGGAAAGTGATAACCGTCGCCTATAGACATGAGCAGTACCATGGACATAACAGAGTATACTGTTTCGCCCATGATACCTCCCATGCGTTGCCATTCCTGAGGAATCAGGTGTTATTCCTTTGTACCCTGTAAATTCACTACCATATCCCACCCTTCATACTAAAATACAGCCGTGTGAACACAACTGCTTTACAGTAGAAACACGAATGGGACAGAGGTATCCAAGCAAACGTTTTTTGTACCAAGTCTCCTTCTGGTTCTCCCTCTAATACATTTGATTTATAAGGGAGGGTAAGGAATGAGCAGCGTTCTCTTAAAACCCGCTTGCCAACCGTGGCAACTACCGGCAAATCTCCCCTAATAAGAGAAGCCTGTGTCAGCAGTGGACAGTTAAAGGTTAAAACGATATGTGTAGTGACATATAAAATTTAAATATAAATAAATTTAAAAAATAATAATAAAAAAATATTGATATACCTATTACAATAAAAACTTATTAATGTCTCTAGTCGTTGCTTTTTAGAGCAAAATATACATATAATTACGTAATATGACATTTATATTTAAAAATTATTAATTCACAGCTAAGAGCAACGATCACTCTGTTTTAAATTCAAGAGGAATCGATCAAGAAATTGGTGACAAACAAGTTTTGGTTACATCTACGAATTGTGAAAAACAGGAAAACCCATTTATAGAAATGACGACAGGGGTCAGTGGAGTCGATAAAAACACTTATTCCCATTTAAATGAAAATCTTGAATTAATTCCTTACTTGCAAAGAACTCAAAACAACGATTTGATTATTAAAAACATGGACGAATTTGTTTTGTTTCGTAGAAAAACTCACTTCAAAGTTCCCGCCTTTAATGAATCGAATAATACAATTAGGAACAGAGATTCTATTTATGAATTTCATAACGACTATTTTAAAAAGGAACGAAGGAATTACGATTACATATTAGAAGAAAACGAAACCATAGATTTATTGAACGATCCACAGATACAGAAAATATTGAGGAAACAAAAGGAGCTGATTAAAAAAATAGAGGAACAAATGAAAAATGAAGCGTCGGTGAAAAATATTTTAAGGACAGACTTTGAAGATCTGTTACAAGAATTGGAAAATAAGCCTAAACAAGAAAAGGTCGATACGAACACATGCAATAATGGCACGTTGGACAAGGACAGCTATAGTAATCAAATGAATATTACGAGGAGAGTGAAAGTGACAAAAGAAAAGTTATCAACTGTTATGACTTTGATAGATGAAACGAAAGCGAGGGAGGCTTTAAAAAGAGATCAGTACGTTAGAAGAATATTAAAAATGGCAAAAAACAAACAAAGGGAATATTTGAAAGCAGCTAAAATATTTTATAATAAAAACTTGGCATAATGACTTGTATTGTTGTTTTGTTTTTCAGTAATACTAAATGGCTAACAAGCTGATAATCTATAAATGCAAAATAAACAACACCATAGACACAACAAACTACATTGTAATGTCTATGGTGGCACTCAAGCGTTCCATCCTTGAAAACCAAATTTTTCAATGTAATTTTAACATCAAATTTGTGTTTCGTTTGGCTCCGAAATTTCGGAAAACATTTCATGGTAGGCCCACATATACGGAAACTATATAGTTAGAAGCGGGCAACGCCGAGGGAAACGAAATAACATATAAAAAGCATTATACAGGATACTTAGTACACTGATACACGCGAGTAAAGCCGCGGGATACCACTAGTTAGTAAAATAAAATGTATCGCAAATAAATGAGTGATCTATTGATCGGTTCCTTTTGTAATACCATGAAAATGTACCATAAATACCATAGATTCAAGGTACATGGTTAGTGTACGAACAAAGATCATTGCTATACATTGAGAACATTCAAATCTTGAAAGGTCAAGCCACGCCTGCGATGTCCTAAGACTAACAAAAGATAAGTTTAGAGGGCGCAATGGAATATAAGTCGAAAACGTTTTGGCGGGAAAATATTGAGATGGCTTTGAAAAACATTGCTTTTCATTTTCATTTAAGAGTTTCCTCTTGTCGGTGCAACTAATTCATGCATCTTCCTCCAGCCCGATAGATAATTTATTTACGTTACTTACAGCACACAAATTACAATAAAAAAAAAACATACACATAATACACAATAAGAGATAAAAGAATGAAAATAAAAAAGCACAAATAAAAAACAAAAAAAATTTAAGAATGCAGTCGCCGAGTAGATAAATATTTATTTATTTATTTGTACATGTATGTGTATATATTGCGGACTTAATGCTAAAAGCATTCTCTCCCAGTCAACCATAGGGAAGTGTTAGAATACTCGAATGCGGTACTAGTAATTATTGATATACATACATACTAGAATAAACATTTTTTTTATACCAAAACCAGGGGCATTTCGCGCGCGTTGCTGACCCTGAAGAAACCTCCTGATTATATCGATACCTGATATTATATATATATATATATATATATATTACAAAAATCTATTGTTTATTAAAACACTGAAGATTTTACTCCCTATTGTAAACATAAATATGAATTTTCAACCGACTTCAAAAAGGAGGTGCTTGTATTTTTTATTATTAACTCTTTTTCAACTTTTTTATATCAAAGAATATACTTACTTTGTTCCCATAGAAGTTTCATCAAAACCGGTTCACTAGTTTAGTTTTTAAATAAAAATAACTGGTTTCGTTAGAAACGAATTGAAGTCGGTTTATTTTATTAATACATTCTTTATTATAATATTGAAGATATAAATAAAAAAATAAAAAAATTGTATGAGATGTTTTAATAAGAGTAATAGAGGCTGAATTATAAATAATAATTTATAAATTTTTAGATTTTTGACTCTGTATATTTTTTTAAAAGATACATCAACAATGTAAATACAGACATTAATTATAATTGATATACAGGGCTTGCATTTTGCATTTACACCAATTACAGATGTGCACAACATTCTCTTAAGTCATCGATTACAAAAAGATTTGGCTTAGGTACAGTTTTACGACCGGCCACCTGCCTGACGTCAACCCTTTTTGGGAATGCATTTGTTGGTAGTTTCCACCACCTACGGTATGGAGGAAAGGATTGAGGAAAAAAGGAAGGGAACGTTGTAAATGCGTAAAGGAAATTGGTGAATGAGAGGAATAAGGGACTTATGTGGGAAAGGAAAGGAGAGGACACTGCAGTTGCGGAAAGGACTGGAACACTGCAGCGGCTCGGGCGGTCGGGGTTATATTTTTGTGTAGTATTCCTTTTATATGTTATTGTACTCATGCTTTCCTGGCTGAACGTATTGGAAGACTGTAAAACTCACCCAGTGGATGTAATAAATAAATATTTTACACTAATTTTTATATTACATACAAATTGTGTACATTTATAAAATCCGCGGGAAATGTTCTAATCTGTGACCAAAGTACATCAGTCCAAAATATTTTATGAACGATTATCTATGGATTTATAGTCTATGCCAATTGATTGTACACCGACATATAAAGATGTAATCTCGCAGTTTTTGAACGAGCAAATAAAATATTTTAATACCCATAAACCACTATACGGATGATATATTAACATAATCTTAGTGAACGGCCATTAACGAGACCGGTTCTTGAGTTCTGAGATAACGCACAGCTGGATTCGCTTTTATATTAATTGTTGGCGGAAGTATTATAACGTTTGATCGATACCTTGACGTATTGCAATAATTATAATTCTATGTATATATATACTATCATAAAAATTTTATATAATTTAACATAAATACTCGTTATTAATCATACAATTATTAACGTTAAAAATTAAATAATGAAGTAGTGCCAAGTACATTTTTTTTAAATAACTTTACGGCTTTGTATGTTTCCTTTTTAGCCCATCTTTAATATCTATGTACTAAAGTGTCAAGTACGCTTTACAATAGGGTTATATAGTAACCAGAGGGAGACTTTGTACAAAAGTCGATTGCTTGGGTACCTCTGTCCCATTCGTGTTTCTACCGTGAAGCAGTTGTGTTTGCATGGCTGTGTTTCGGTTTGAAGGGTGGGATATGGCGTGAATTTACAGGGTACAGAGGAATAACACTTGAGTCTTCAGGAATGGCAACGCATGGGGGGTATCATGGGCGAAACAGTATACTCTGTTATGTCCATGGTACTGCTCGTGTCTATAGGCGACGGTTACCACTTTCCATCAGTTGGACCGTCAGCTTGTTTGCCATTCTAAGTTGTATATATATCGATATCTACATATTTTAGTTACAATGTCAATACTAATCCAATAACGACCGGATATCCGAACGGATAACGTTTTTCCGCCATCAAGGTTCAGAGGAACCCAATATATAGATAACGGATTGGTATCCATAATACTCACGCATACTTTGCAAGTATTAATGACAATTTTAAATATGACACTTTAAAATTATTTTCCGGGGGGTGGGGGGGGGGTGGGGGGGTGTCTGCAACTGTATTTTTCAGTGTTGCCAGTAATTGGATTAAAATATCTCAGTTCAGGTCGATTTTTAAATTGGAATCGAAATAAAAAAAAAATCTGATTAAAATGAACACATGTACGTATGTTACTAATGCAAACTATCATTCCTATTGCTAGCAATTACCCTATCAGATCGATCTGCACGTGGTGACCTCTGGAAACCATTGTGCTTTCAGGTGTATTCATCACGATAGGCTAACTAACCTGCCGTTTCATCTATTATATTTAAGACAAAATAAACATAGAAGTTATAAAGGAATCACTCATAACTATTTATCACGCAAAATTGTAGACAAACAAGCTGACGGCCCACCTGATGGAAAGTGGTAACCGTCGCCTATAGACATGAGCAGTGCCATGGACATAACAGTATACTGTTTCGTCCATGATAACTCCCATACGTATCCATTCCTGAGGACTTAGATGTTATTCCTCTGTACCCTGTAAATTTACACCATATCCCACCCTTCAAACCGAAACACAGCCATGCAAACACAACTGCTTCACGGTAGAAACACTAATGGGACAGAGGTACACAAGCAATCGACTTTCGTACAAAGTCTCCCTCTGGTATATATATATATATATATATATATATATATATATATATATATATATATATATATATATATATATATATAAATATATATTGTCAGCAGATAATAATCTACCGAAACTACATTAAAAGTGTGATAAAAAATAATGATGATAATGTTAAATCGTTTCCATCTCGGAATTGGCGCGAACTTATGAATAATGCAAATAAAACAGTTACATCATGGCGGAGTGAAAGTTTTTTTTTTTAATTTAATAAACATAGTTGACCTCGACATAAAGTTCAAATCTATACATTATGGCCGCCGGTCAAACTGTATTACGTAAAATGACATTAATTTGGTAAATAATATTGAAAATAGGTGTTACACTGTGGCATTTAATCTTTTTATTAGATTAAATTACGTATGTGTATAATTCACAATAATGTAACATTTTTTTTATTTATTTTTTTATGCAACTCAGAATGTCAAACAAGCTGTCGGCCAGGGGGAAGGGATTGTTAGTAACAGAATCAAATTGCCCCATTACTAGCAATATACCCTGTCAGGTCAACCTCCCCGTGGCTCCCTCTGGAAACCATCGTGTTGAATTCCAGGCGTATTCATCACGATGGGCTAACTGAGGTATCTTTTCATCCTCACCTATCATCTCTCACTGGTGCCCCGCGGTTACCGTTCCATTATCATCCATTGAAAAAAAACCTTAAATAATTGGGATAAGAGCGGGAAGATGATGAATTTTACATTAAAAAAAAAAAGCTACTAGCGACCTTCTTCTGCTAGATACGTAATTTATTTGAAAAAAAAATCTGTTAAAGATCAAGTCTGACATCGTTATGATAAACATCGCAACAGACAGATCCTAGTACTAAAAATATAATATTACAGACGCAAAAAATTGTGAGTGTGCGTGTGTAAGCCGTGCGGTCCCGGCATAGAATGAGCCACCCCTTCCTTTCCCGTGGGCGTCGTAAAAGGCGACTAAGGGAACTTAATTGTCGAGGGATGAACAGCAGCGTCTCCCTTAAAACATCTCTAAATTCTAACTGCGGTTGCCGTCTGGGGGGGGGGGGTGTTAGTAATGGAGACTAAGAATCCCATTGCTAGCAGTATACTCAACTAGGTCGATCTCCTCGCGGCTCCCCCTGGAAACCATCGTGTTCAATTTATTTATTTATTTAAACTTTAATGCGCAGTAAAATTCTATGTACATTTAGCGGACTTAACACCGGACGGTATACTCTACCAGTCGAGCATTCAATTCTAGTGAATTTACCAACAATGGGCTAACTGACCTGCCTTTTCATACTCGCCTGTCATCATTCACTGGTGCCCCGCCAGCGTATACCGTTAGCGCAAGCGGAGTTGCCATACTATTGTCTTCTATTAAGAAAAACGGTAATCTGCCTGCCAAGCGTGGCAACTACCAGCAAAAACCCTTTAAGGAGAGGCCTATGTTCAGCGGTGGACAGCTAACGACTGATGTAATGATTCTACCATAGTCGGAGAAAGCAAATCTTACAATTTAAATATAAATTAAAATATACCCAACCAGGTCGACCCCCTCGCGGTTCCCCCTGGAAACTATCATGGTTAATTCCTGATGAATTCATCATGATGGGGTAACTGGCCTGTTTTCATTCTCATCTATCACCCTTCACTGGTGCTACGCCAGCATATCCCGTTAGTGCAGGCGGGATTACCATACCATTTTCACCCATCAAAAAAAAAAATTAAGAACTATCTACGTATGTAAAGACTGTTTTATACAATTATCTTTTGTTTGTAACTTTTTAGTATATTAACTTTCCGGTCAGTGTTAGTAGATTTAAAACAAAAAATCTCTATGGTTCTACCATAGACAAAAAGAAATTCTTTTATCTATGGCTCTATCTATTACGATTATGAAACCTTGAAATGCCGCACGACCGAATCGGTCATATTAGCTCCAGTGTTTCTAATTGTATAACAAGATAATTTAATCGCAGATTCTAAATAAATAATCCATTAGTGATACGGCGAAAGTTGTAACCTTCGACACGGGCGGTGGATTCGAGAAACGAACAGCTGATGGGTGCTGTGACGTCACAAATACTATTTATTGATAGTGAACTCCAAAATCACATCTACGCTCGATCTCCAGTAGTTGCCACGCTTGGCACGCGGGTTGGCAACCGCAGTAGGCTTTAGTGACTTTTTAAGAGGGTCGCTGCAGTCCATCCCTTGTCCTCTTTAGGGGGGGGGGGGGGAAGGGATTGTTAGTAATGAAGACTGAGAATCCCATTGCTAGCAATATACCCAACCAGGTCGAC